TATATTACCATATTAAATAAATTTACTCTTACTTTAAATAAAGTATTAAATTCAATAAATTGGAAACAACATAAAATACTCAATTAAATAAATAATAATTTACAACCCAAGGTAATTGGAAAACTATAGGTTCCGATTACAAAAAGTACTCTATTCATCATCACTTAACCAATTTGTGCTGCTAGGACCATCTCCTCTTGCTCTCGCTTCTCTTGCACGCCTCCTACGCACCACATCCTTTTTCTCCGACTTCCAAAAATATTTAGAATTTAGAGACTTCCCTTCTAAATGCGTGTTCATAATCTCACGATCTCGTTGAGCCATTCTTTCTTCTCTAACCAATTCCCTTTCTTGCCATAACTCTCTTTCTCTCTGATTAGCTTGAAATTCTCTCTCCACAGCTGCAGCTTTTGCCTCCTCTCTAGCCTTATCAGCCTCAAATTTCGCCATTTCCCGCGCCAAAGTCAATTCACTATGGCGAGTAAGTTCTTCCATGTACTTTGCATAATCATGCTTGGAAGCACTTCCTTTTCTCTTTGAAGCCTTCTTACCTTGAGGCCTAATTGGATAACGGGTCGAACCCGACGCTTGTTCAGGGCTGGGCGTTTCGGGCACTTCTTCTGCATCATCTTCATGCGAGCCATTATCAGGTGTAGAGTATAGCGGGGTGCTGTTCATGACAACTTCTGGACTGACAGACACAACTCTGAATTTAGGACAATCTTTGACAATATTCCAACATTCCCACCGGTTGAATGATTTATTTTTGCTTTTGGTTTTGGCACCATACCAAGCTTATGCTTGAATTAGCTACACAATGGGGGAGAAGAAATAATTATAATCAAAGTAGGTAACAAATAAATAATACAAACAAATAACACTACTACAATATTAGCTTTAGGTGGCGGATATTAGAAAAATCATGTCGGATAAATTATATCCGACACATTATTTAATTAATGGCGGATATTAGAAAAATTATGTCGGTTATATCCGACATAAATTCCTGGCGGATATTTAGTGACGGATATCAAAAAGAAATTTTAAAAAAAAATATTTTTGACAGATTCTGACGGTTTTTAAGTTAATGGTGGCGGTTATAACCGACATAAATTGACTATTTTATTATTTTACTTTTTGGCTGTTATTATTTTAGTATTCAAGGTTATAACTAACAAAAATGAAAATTTTATTATTTTAAAATGTTATGTTGATTAAAAATAAATAAATAAACACATATTTAAAAAAAAAATTCACTCATGACCCTATAGTCTAATGAACCCAATTCCCACTAGCCATAAATTTTATGAGATAATAATAACAACAAACTACAATCTGAAGCTCTATCATTTTTGTAATAAAGATTATGCTCCCCCACAGGCAAGCAACAAGATACAAATAAATTCAAACAATTTTTTTCAATGTGTCACAAAGCACATTGTCTGGCACATAAACACACATGAACATCTGGTGGACTCTATCATGTCTGGTGTACTCTATCATGTCTGATTTTTTTCACTCATGGCCCTTTCGGATATAACCGATACGAACAAAGCAAAATTTTGGACGGCCGCTAGAATAATCTCTTAATGTTTTTTTTTTTACGGTTGGATCGTTGAAACTAACTTCATAGAATGCATATCCTATCAAATTGATAGATTTAACAAACACTTAAGAGTTAATGTTGTGCTTCCATTAAATATAAAATAAGATTTATCCACTAGTGTAAATATTTTATAAATTGAAGATCGAATTCATTCATTGCATTCTTATATGATCGAAGTGTGTAGCTGCAAAAAATCATTAAAATTGGAGTTAAAATAACCGTTAACTTGTGATTTTTCGTTTGTCACCATCGAAAACTTTTGTTCTATTACCTACTCTATGAATGTTTGTTTTTTACGATTTTTTACATATGCGATCTTGGAGTGTGTACAAACAAGTTTGACGGTTGGATCGTTGAAAAACGTTTCGTAGAATGTGTATCACATCAAAACGGTAGATTAAACCAAGACTTAGAGTTAATATTATATTTTCATTAAGTATAAAATAAGATTTTGTGGTACCTCTAGTGTAAATATTTTAAATTGAAGATCAAATCTATTCATTGCATTCTTATAGGATTGAGGAGTATAGCTGTAAAAAATCATTAAAATCGGAGCTAAAATAACCGTTAAATTGTGATTTTTCGTTTATAACCGTCGAAAACTTTTGTTCCGTTACGTAATCACTGAATGTTTGTTTTTTACGATTTTTTACGTATGCAATCTCGGAGTGTGTACAAAAAAGTTTAACGGTTGGATCGTTAAAAAAAGTTTCGTATAATGTATATCGCGTCAAAACGGTAGATTACACAAACACTTAGAGTTAATATTATACTTCCATTAAGTATAAAATAAGATTTTATGGCATCCGCTAGTGTAAATATTTTAAATTGAAGATCAAATTTATTTATTGCATTCTTATAGGGTTGAGGATTGTAGCTGTAAAAAATCATTAAAATCAGAGCTAAAATAACCGTTAAATTGTGATTTTTCGTTTATAACCGTCGAAAACTTTTGTTCCGTTACATAATCTCTGAATGTTTGTTTTTTAAGATTTTTTACATACGGAATCTCAGAGTGTGTACAAATAAGTTTGACGGTTGGATCGTTGAAAAAAGTTTCGTAGAATACATATCGCGTTAAAACTGTAGATTAAACAAACACTTAGAGTTAATTTGTGCTAATCTCTTAATGTTTTTTTTTTTGCGATTTGTTTAAGTATGCGATCTTGTAGTATCTACAAACAAATTTGACGGTTAGATCATGGAAACTAATATCGTAGAATGCATATCTCCATCAAATTTGCCTAAATTTTGAAGTGGGAAAAATAATTTGTGCTAAATTTTTATTTATGTTTTTCAAGTATTGATTAGACAATATTTAGTTTGTGTGATGACATTTTCATTGTACAATTATCTTTTTGTTTCTTTAACGCATATTTTACATGGGTTATTATCTATTAAACCAAACAGTTATTTATTTAATTTTTAAAAACGTATGCTATTTAAATACAAATTATTTATTTATTAAACCAAAAAATTATTATCTTATTTTTTTAAATCGTAACAAAATTTTGGAGGGGAATTTAAAATTTTGGAAGAGGGAATTTAAAATTTTGGGGGTGGCGGGGGGAATTTAAAATTTTGGGGGGATTTGTGCCTCCATTTTTTTTCTGTTGGTTATAACCGACAGTAATGAAAATTTTGTGTCAGTTTTTATTTAAAAAAATGTTTCTGACGGTTTTAACCGACAGTAATAAAAAATTTCCAAAATAAAACCCCTCTATCCCTTCCCACTTCCTTCCCTCATTTCCTTCTCCTACTCTTCTCTCCTCATTTACTGTCCGGAGTCCTCTTTCATCACAACAGAATCAAGAAAATGTTCGGAGTCCTCTTCTTGAATCGCAGCTTCCCAATGGACATCTCTTCCTTCTCCCAGATCGACACCTTCCACTGGATTCTCGACATGAACACCTTCGTCGTTAGATTTCCCTATTTTCCTTCTTTTTTTTTCTTTCCAATTTCTTCTTCAGTGGCGCAGCTTATCATTCTAACATATGGTTCTAATGTGTGCAGGGGAGGCGTTCGATCAAGTCCCCGAGCTCTGCATATTTCTCTTAAACAACTTCACACTCCCGCCGGACAAAGCCCTAGCCGTCTACATCCAGTCCCCGGGATCTGCTTTCTTCTTTTGCAAAGCAGCCACCGTGGCTAGGCCGTGGGCGGTGCTTTCTCTTCCGTGGCCCTAGCCGTCTACATGCAGTCCCCGAGCTCTGCATAACTAACATACTGAGGTTACACTGATACAAAGCCACTATGGTACAAAGCCACTATGGCTTCAACGATTCTTGTTCTAAGACTAATGTATTCATAAAATCAAAGCAAATTCAGGTCTAGGAATCATAGCTGGACGAAGAAGCATACATTTTGTATTCGTCCTGAATATGCATGAAATAAAAGCATGCGTTTTGAGAGTGGTTTGCCAACTGCACTTGCAATCTTAATATATTTATTAATAAAAGCATGTATCAGTATATTTTTTTATTATTAATATATTTTCTGACGGTTTTATCCGACAATAATGCTTTTATTTATTCATTATTTATATATTTTCTATCGATTTTAACCGACAGGGCTGGCGTCACACCCACTCGAGGGCTTGCGCTGTCAGCTCTTCACAGGCCCGAAGCTCGAGCCTCACCTCCGCTCGGGCTCCTTCAACGCTGGAGCAACTTCACAGGGCCTCGGGCCCTTTCCTCTCCCCTGTCCCCCGAGCAATGTCCATGATTGGACTTGCTCTTATATTAAAGCAAAAATAGTAAAGGATGGGAGATAAAAAACTGTTGATTACTTTTAACTTTTTCTGCCTTCCTTCTTTTTTTTGGTAGAGATCATGTCTTTCTTATCAGTCACCACTTGCACTCCCCTTTGCCTGCTACGGTCTTCATCATCATTAGCTTTACCCACTTCTTTTCACCATCCACGTCTAAAGTAAATCTGTCCTCAATTATTTGTTTCTGATCGGAATCTTCTCCAATCTATCCTCAATTATCTGTCTCTGATAGGAATCTACTCTCTAGATGCACCAAGCTTTCCACGTTATGAGAGAGAATTTAAACACTGTATTGTATCCGGTATATGTGATTGCATCATTTTTCATTGCACTTATGTGGCGTTTACTAATCCGTAATCAGATTGAGAGGAATTGGATTGATGAAAAATTGGATTGAGGAGGAATTGAAATGAGGTGGAATCAGAATCAGATTCCTGTTGAAGTTGTTTACTAAAACTGTCTGGAATCGGAGTAGAAATGATGTTGAATCTATATAAGTTATTTACTTATCCAGTTGAATCGGAACGAAAACTAATTTGATTACTATATTGCCCTTACATAAATAAATTATGTTCATATAAAGTTATTGGATGTGCATATGTTGTATACTTGCCTCGACACAAATTTAAAAGTGTGCTACATAGTATTTAAAAATAGGAAAACAGAAAAAGAAAAAGGAAAGTAAGAGAGAGACAGAAGAAAGGGCGACTTGGAGACTCAGAGGAAGAAGAGGTCTTTGTTTATTGCGTCCTCGATTCCATTCGATCTTCCTCAATCCGACCGCTACCCTCGATTTTGTTTGATTGAGGTACGTGCTTCTCTCATCTGATCATCCATCATTGGAATTATCCAAGTACATGGGTTTCCTCGAATTTTGATGCCAGCTTCCGAATCAATTTCCCATTTTTTTCGTTTAGAATACTTTCATGTTGAGTGAGTTCCTCTCAATCCTTTTCATTTGTATGAGCTGTCGATTCTGTTCAGATTTTTCTTTAAATTGGTTTTGGGTTTGCTGTTGTTTGGTGAGGGAGAAGGAGAGGGATAACACTGGGGACGAGAGCTTGGGTTTATTTGGAATTTCAACTTTTATGCGAGGGCACAATGGGTAAGAAAAATGGATTCCTCACCCCTCAATCCTCGGAATCCAAATACCATCTAATTGTTAGGAGTCTAATTCCTCCAAATTTCGGAATTGGATTCCAAAATTTGTATGTGACCCACTAAACTTTAATTCCCTTAAATTTGGTAAACATCGGAGGATTTTGTAATCGGAATTTAATTCCGTTTCCCGATTCCGATTACCCTTACGTAAACGTGCCATTAGTGTATCAAAGAGAGGAATTTAAAACACTGTGATTCATTTCATGAAAGGTCTTTATCTCAACAAGATTTCCTATCGACGGCAAATTTTCAAACTAAATATGTGAACAATACAATCGAAGTGATATAAAGTATGTGTGGCTCGAAGAAAGTTGGGATTTCATTCGAAATCCAATCAGCTATATAAAAAGTAGCTTAACTTCTTAAAAGCACATGCAACATTCATCTTCCCATCCATACAGGATTCATTCTCAACAAGAATGATGTCTTCTTGCAAAGGGACAGAAGGATTGAAAGAAAATTAGACAAATATGATTGGAAAGAGAGAACGTCTGCTTTGATTTTGACATTTTAATTTTTTGAATGAGTGTAAAGATACCTTTATATAGTGAAGGTAATTTAGATAGTAAATTTAGGTTTAAATAGATATTGATAGTTTAATTAATATATGGGTGTAGAGAGAGATTATAATGGTTTAAATAAAGGGACGTGTTATCCACACATCCTTTTTTACTTGTCACATATCCTTTTTAATTTCAGTTGTCAGATTAAATGAATTGAAGAAAATCAAAGGTCAAAAGTTAACAAAGTTGTTTGAGAAGTAAAAATTGATGAGGTGTAGCAACACCATCCTAAATAAAATTTCGCAAAAATATATATGAGTGGATTTAAATTGAAAAAACTATAATGTATTTTTTTTAAATGTAATTTAAACTCCGGCTTATGTGAATATATGCACTATTTTCAAATTTTCAACATAACCTAAAATCTTAAGGCATATGTGATATCAATTTTTCAAAATCATTAATTTTTATCTCATCTTAACTCCATTAAGTTTTAGTTCATATGACAAATGCTTAAAATTTTAGTTTGTTTATACTATATTTAGGGCCTCGTATAAATACTCGGAGGACTTAAATGTAATTATGTAATAAAAGAATGGGCAAATATGTAATAAGTGAGGAGTCTTTATTCTATAAAAGGACCCCTCACCCTCACAATTGGAGAGACCTGACTCTCACCCACAGAGGCCATTTCTGAGGCCAATTCCAAAGGCCTCACTCTCACCCTCCTAGGTCCTCTCACCCCCTCTCAAAGCTCTCACTTTCAGAGTTCTCTCTCCCTCAGATAAATACATAATCAGTGTGGACGTAGTCCAAACCTTGGGGTGAACCACAATACATCTTGTGTTATTTACATTTCTTACAGATTCACGGTAGAATTTACGTTGTTCTAAGACCCCTCCAGTTTTGTGCATCAACATAGTTCATATGACAATTGAAAACAATGTATAAATTCATATGACATTTCAAAAAAATTTCTTATTGTAATGGATGAATTGCCGTGAATATGTCATTCATCTTCAATCCATAGCAGTCATAATTCAAAATTTTTTCCCCTCACTTGGCTCTAGTTTAGAGTATTAATATCACTTGTAATTGAAAAAATAAAAACTCCTTATATATTAATGCGAGGAAAAGTTGAGATCGTATCATTCTAGTTCTTAACAAGAATCTGTGCACCTATCCATGCCTCAATCAAATATCCAAAAGGCAAAGCTAGGGCATTGTCATGTGCTCTGACTCTTCATCTTTTCTTCTTCTAATTTCTCAAAAAGCCATCACTACTCTCCTGTGTGTCCTAGAAATGTACACAATTTGATGAATTCAATTTCCAAGTTGTTTTGTTTTCATAAAATTTTTAATTTTCCAAATTCCTAAATTTTCAAGGTAAACAATCCGAACAAGCGGTTGGACTGGATGTAAGCCAAATTAAAAATTCTGATTTTCCTATCCGAACGCAACTTAACTTGGCAAGAGATATAATGGCGTTAGAGACTCCTCCCGTGCAATCGCTTGTACGAAAAAAAAAAAAAAACACATTAACTTCTTTATTTAAGAGAGAAGGAAATTTTTTTTTTCAGTTAAAAGAAAAAATAATTTTTTTCAGTTAGTACTGCTTTTAACTTTCTTTTTAGCCTTTCGGTCCCTTTATATTAAAGCAAAAAAGTAAAGGATAGGAGGATTAGCTTTTTATCCCACTTTCTCAAATTGTCATGCATTGCATGGTGGAGATTCGTGTTTTACTTGGTAGAGACGTTATAAGACAGAAATTTAAACACTCTATTGTATCTGTTATCTATCATCATATCATCCTCCATTGCACTTGTAATATTGTATCGAAGAGAGAAACTTAAACACTCTGATTAGCTGAGCTGAGCTGAACAGGGAATTGAAGGAATGGCAGCTGAAGCTGTGGTTACTTTTGGTGTGGAGGGAATACTGAGCAAGGTGCTTTCACTTGCTTCGAAAGAATTCAGTCTTGCATTGGGTTTCAAAGCTCAACTCAGAAAGCTTCGAAACTCATTAACCGACATTGAGCGTTTCTTGGTTGCTGTTGCCGACCAACCACAAGGTAGTATATATTTCTGAACTCTCTTGTTGTTAATTAGAAAATATAAAGGAAAGTATGTTAGATATGATTTAATTAGGGATTTGATTAGATTTTGTCTAGGTTTCTTTGTCTTGTAGACAAAGGATTATTTAAATTTATTTTAGGCTAAATAGTCAAAATGGTCTTTAAGATTTGCATAACTCATCACTTTGGTCCATAACATTTCAAATTGATAAAAGTGGTCCCTAAGATTGTCCATCATCCATCATTTTGGTCATTCCGTTAAAAAATCCGTTAAGTGTCCCGAAACTCTTGACCGGAAGTTTGAGCAATATTCAAAGCTTCGTAACTCAATCGTTTCTTAACCAAATTCGACCCATAATATATCAAAATGAAGATAGAAAAGTGTAGAATAAGATTATAACTATTTGGAAGCCCAATGGCTGCCGGAGATAGCCGGAAAATAGCCTCAAAGTTGACTGGTCCGAGAGAAAACTGGAAAACTCACCGGAAACTAGGTAAACTTTAAACGTTCATAAATTCTTCAATACTCAAGGAATCAAGTGATTTAAAAACGAAAATCATATTTCTCGACGTGACGAAGAGAATGGTACCTTTTTAGACAGCTAAATGCCGTTTGGCCGGAAAACGGCTCGAAAGTGGCTAACTCGACCAAGACAGCCACTTTCGAGCCGTTTTCTGGCCAAATCATGGCGAGTTAGCCGTCGAAAAAGGTACCCTTCTCTTCGTCTTATCGAGAAGTATGATTTTTGTTTATGAATCACTTGATTTCGTTGAGTATTGAAGAAGTTATGAACGTTTAAAGTTTACCCAGTTTTCGGCGAGTTTTCCAGTTTTCCCTCGGACTAGTTAACTTTGAGGCTATTTTACAGCCATCTCCGGCAGCCATTGGGCTTCCAAATAGATATAATCTTATTCTACACTTTCCTATCTTCATTTTGATATATTATGGTTCGATTTTGGTTAAGAAACGATTGAGTTACGAAGCTTTGAAAATTGCCCAAACTTCCGGCCAAGAGCTCCGGGACATTTAACGGAGTTTTTAACTGAAAGACGAAAATGATGGATGGTGGATAATCTCAGGGACCACTTTTATCGATTTGAAATGTTAGGGACCAAAATGATAAGTTATGCAAATCTCAGGGATCATTTTGGCTCTTTGGCTTTTATTTTATAGTATTGCTCCTTGTAATCTTATAAATGCTTAGACCATCTCTAATGGTGACCTAAAACCTAAAAATATTTAGCCCAGAAAATCTAGGTTTTAGCCGAGAAACAACTTTTCTACTCGAACCCTTCTGGCCTAAAATTTTAGCCCGAGATTATCAAAGAATGAATTAAGGCTAATTTTTTTTAAATTAACTTTTTTTTTTAAAATTATGTAGACTATCCTAAATTAATTTTATGAATATTTTAATCTAAAAATATTTAAATTCCGATAAATTTTGAAAAATCACTAAATCAATACATGAAAATCATGATAACCACATAAACTTAATACAAACGACATTTAATAAACCACATAAACTTAATACAAATGACAATTAATAAACCACATAAACTAAAAAAAAAAAAAAAACAATTAATAAACCATATAAACTTAATACAATCGAAAACTCATAAACTACATAAACTTAATAATGATATCCACCATCTTGACTTGGTGATGGACTTGGGTGATAGTCTTGAGATGAATCATCATCTTGAAATATACTCCTTGTGGCATTCTTTCGTAAAATGTCATTTTGCTTACCACGTAAGTATTTCTTCCTCTCTGGAGTGTATTTGTCAAGGTCCTCCATCATCAAATTAATTTCGAACCTTTCTTGCTCCCTATCCCTTTCTTCCTTCATGGCCAAACGCATTTGGGCCGATTCTTCTTGCCGACGGCACTGGTTTTCGTTCATTCTTGCCATTTCGCTAGCAAATTGTGCACGTATCGGATCTTGGGACTTCCCTTTTCTCTTTGCTTTCTATTGCTTATCTCTACCCAGGGGCCTTGCAAAAGAAGAAGTTGGGTTCATTTGTTCGACACCTTCATTGTCGGAAAAATTCACACCTTCATTGACATCATTTGGGGGTGGGGTTTCACTATGAAATAATCTTCTATATTGTTGGTTCACATCGGTTCCTTACCTCGGACAATCTTTGAGGATGTTCCAAGCATGATGCAATTTAAAAGCTTGATTTTTTGGTGTAGTTTGCCATTGCTTTGTCACCCTATGCAACAAATACATAAAAACAATTAGTTGCAAATACTATTATGTACATGACAAAGAAAATATCAACAAAGAAACTCACAATTTCTGAGGCACCCCTTCCACGAGGCATGTCAACCATGGCTCTCTCAAAGCTTCACTTCCACAAAGTGCATGCTTTGTTGATAATCTTCCACCGATCATAAACACCACCAACTTCCCTTCAACCGGCGTTGGAGTTTTTGTGGAACTTATCAACGATTTTACCTCACAAAACCTTTCTATTTTGATTCGTGCCGACGGCACCATCTTCACTAATAGAAATCCATGCCAAACACAAAGCAATATCTTCGTCAAAGGTCCAATTACAACCTCTAACATGCTCTTTTGCCATCTTGAAAATTTTGGAAATGAGAAGAAATGGTAGAAAGAAAAATTGGAAGAATTGTAGGAGAAAAGTGAGTTTTGTGTGGATGTTTGAACAAATACATTGGTATTTATAGAGTTTTTGGTTGAATTTTAAGTTAAATAATTTTTTTAAATTATTTTAGCAGTTGGATTTAAATTTGGACCGTTAGATCTTCTTTTTACCGTTAGATTGAATTATATTCAATCTAAGTCGTTGGATTCAATAAATATATAATATAAAACTAAAAAAAATAAATATTTGAACGTGGACCATTGGATTAACCAACGGTCCAATTACACTGGCCGTTAGATGAAGAAAAGTAGCCGTTGGGCTACAGTGTACATGACACGCTAAGGTTGACAACCCACATGGGGTGGGCCTCGGCTGGAAATTGTTGGGCGCGTGACGCACGTTCATCGTCTGGGTTTTTAGGGTGTGGGCTTCACAACCCACTTTTCACTCTCACCTGTAGGTCCCATTTTATTTTGTGGGCTAAATTGTGGCTGGTATTTGCCTTCCTTTTAGGTTTTGGGTTGGAGTGGGTTTGGGGGGGGGGGGGGGAGGGAAGGGGGAATTTTAGGTTGTAAGCCATCATTGGAGATGATCTTAATAAGGAGAAGAATAAGGGATTTGAAATTGTTAGATTGTAAAGAATTATAAATTTATCGTATACCCTTTATTTTCAACTCTTATAATCTCACATTACATTTACAAGATTTTTAAATACCGTTCTCAAATACTTTTCTGTTTAACAGGTGGGCCAATAGAGGACTGGGTGAAGAAACTCAAAGACGTAGCTCATGATGCTGAGGATGTCTTGGATGAGTTCGAGTACGAAGTTGCTCGGCGTAAAGTCGAAATCCAAAACCATATGAAAAAAAAGGTTCTTAACTTCTTTTCACTCTCCAATCCACTTGCATTTCGTCTTCAAATGGCGCATAAAATAAAGAAGATCAATGCATCCTTGGTGTATCTCAAGAGTGAAGCATCTCTTCTTGGACTAGTTTCCAGGAATAAAGATGCAACTCCTCGAGGAAATAGATGGGACAGACAAACCAACTCATTCATTGGCAGAGATGAAATAACTGTTGGAAGGGGAGAGGTTGTGACAAAAATAGTTACAACCTTGACCGACTCCAAGTACAACCAAGAAAATCCTGCGGTTATGGCCATCGTGGGAATGGGTGGCCTCGGAAAGACAACATTGGCCAAGTCGGTTTATAATGAGGATCTGATACACAAGCATTTCGAGACGAGAATATGGGTTTGTGTATCGAACACTTTTGATGTCGATTTAATTCTACTTAAGATGTTAGAACAACTCAAACCGGCAAACGCCCCTTCTTTGAAAGATAACCAGGAAGCTCTGCTTAAGTTCCTCAATGAAGAGTTGGAAAATAAAAGATATTTACTCATACTTGATGACGTTTGGAACGAAGATTCTGAAAAATGGAAGAATTTGATGGAATGTTTTTTTAAGCTTAACTCTGTTGGGGGATCCAAAATTATAGTCACTACTCGTAGTGCCAAAGTCGCATCAATCTCAGAAAAGCTACTTCCACGATGTGAATTGGGAAAACTTTCCGTGGATGAATGTTGGTCCATCATGAAAGATAGAGCTTTCCCCAATAGCAGGGCTAATATAGCTCATGAGTTCCAGACAATTGGAATGAAGATTGCTAAACATTGTGGTGGTGTTCCATTAGTGGCAAAGGTGCGTACGATTACGTATCATATGTTTGCACCTATTTTTTTTACATGTTTTCATTTATTAATTAAGATAATACTTGCATTCAACTCATGGGGTGCACCACCTTATAAATTAGAACAAGGTCTAGTGACAAATGTATTTTAACCATCGAAATTTCATAATCGGAACCATTTACTTTCGTAATCACCATTTAAAGATCATCATTACGAAATTTCATTTCAAATGGTATATATTAGCTATTTGATATTATAAATGTTTTACTTGGTACCAACAATGTCAAATTGTTCAATACATATAGATGACTAAATAGTCTCCAATTTAATTGATATTTGGTAGCAAACAAACTGATCCAATCCCTTCGAACTTTAGTTATATTATCTGCAATATGATTTTTTTTTAATTATTATTATTAATGGGAAGAACCAAACTATCACAATAATTTAAGGGAAGAGAAGTTTTGAATCTGGAATGTATGAGTGGAAACCCAACACCCTATCCACTAGAATATTGCAAAATATTGCAAAATGATTGAATTGGGATCGAATTTTGAAAGCACAATGCACATAGATTAGTTTTTTTAGAGGGTGTAAAAAGCTTCACCAAATGCAATAATTGGAATGACATGTACATATCGCCGAAACATTATATGGTATATAAAATATGAGATTTTCCTAACATTTTCTTATTGAAAAACCAGCATTAGCAACTTATTGATTTGAACAAGACAGCAACTACATAAAATTAATTCCGCCAACAAATCAAGAATAAAACGTACTTTTAACTACTTAATGGGTTTTTGGGAATTTGGTCAAGCACAAAGAAACAGGATCTAATATCATTTTGCAAACTATTAAGAATTGTAGTTATCACATTAGATTTTGTCCTTTTAGGCAAGGGATTCAAAATTAAGTAAACAAAAACCTCTTATTTAATATGAGTCCCTCTTTTCTACATTATTTTAGAACGCCTTCGAAACTCACTAATCCAATCAACAGGTTTTAGGAGGCATTTTGCACACTAAAAAAAGTATTGAAGAATGGTCGTTGTTTAAAGATAGTAGAATATGGGGCAACCTACCAAAGGGAGAAAATAGAATTATGCTAGTCTTGAAGTTGAGTTTTGACAATTTAGAATCACCATCATTGAAGCAATGTTTTGCATATTGCTCATTGTTCAAGAAAGATTTTGAAATTCAAAGAGAGAGCTTGGTTCAACTTTGGATGGCTCAAGGATTACTCCACCCTGCACCTGATGAAGGTAAAGATATGGAGGAAATAGGCAGTGAATATTTTGATATTCTACTGCAAAGCTCCTTATTTCAAGATGCTTCAATGAGTGACAATGGCATCGTTAGCAAATGCAAGATGCACGATCTTGTGCACGATTTGGCAAAACTTATATCCAAATCTGAAATCTTGACGGGAGACTTATGTGGCATAGGCTCACTTGAGATTCAACATGTTGCTCGGGTTTCTACTTTTGTACTGGAAAACATTCTGGAAAGAAGTGATGGAAAATTGCGATCACTGTTTTTCAACGATGGTGAAGTTCCTACTAACATTCTTCCACAATTCAAAGCTTTACGTGTCTTAAATTTAAGTAATGCTAATATTGAAGAATTTCCAGTTTCAATTGGTAGGCTGAAACACTTGAGGTATCTTGACATTTCTGAAACAAGATTCAAAGCACTCCCCACGTCTATAGGTAAGCTCTATAACCTACAGACGTTAAGAGCAACAAATTGTGCCCTTAAAGAGTTTCCAAAAGAACTGCAAAACTTGATCAACTTGAGGCATATTTATTTTGATAAGAGTACGAAATTTCCACAGGGGATAAGGCGGTTGACTTGCCTTCGAACATTACCTTACTTTTCGGTGGGTAATGAGATTGGTCGTCGAATTGAAGAGTTGGCTAGCTTAAAACAATTGAAAGGTGAATTAATTGTTTGTAATTTGGAGCACGTAAAGAACGGAGAAGAAGCAAAGAAAGCTAAGTTGGAGGATAAGAGGAAAATATGCCATTTAAGCTTCCAATGGACAAAAAATAGGTTAATAACCAACAACAATAAGGAGGGGGATGTACTGGAAAGCCTCCGACCGCATTCTGAGTTGGAGAGCTTAAGTATTGAAAATTTCATGGGCGATAAGTTTCCATCGTGGATAATGAGTAGGTCATTACTGCTCAACAACTTGAAGAAGATTCAATTACTTGGATGCGACAAATGTGAAGGAGTCCCACCGCTCGGTCATCTACCCAATCTTACGAAGCTTAAGATTAGCGGAATGGCTAACTTGAAATGTGTTGGAGCTGAGTTCTACGGTTATGATCATGTCCACAATGTAGCCACGACAAGTAAGGAGATAATTACTTTATTTCCTGCACTGAAAGTATTAAATATTTCTAGGTGTGGTGATCTAATTGAATGGAAGGAGGCACCAAAGATGTCAGCACAAAAAGTAGTGGTTTTTCCATGCCTTGAGAAGTTGACCATAAAAGGCTGTTCCAAATTGAGAAATGTTCCAAGCCATTTTCCATCTCTTCAAAAGTTGAAGATAATTTCTAGTGATAGTGGAAAGCCAATAGAAGAAATAAGCAGTGGATTAACAACTCTCACTTTCCTCATAATAAGAAGTATTAAGGAGCTTACTTGTTTGCCACAAGGGATTTTGATGAACAATAATAATCTCTCTTCTCTGGAGATAAGAGATTGCAATGATTTAACTTGTATTGCCCCCGATGTATTTGGATCTTGGGGCTTTCTTGAGAGATTGGATATTTGGAAATGTGAAAAGCTGAGGCAATTGACGGATGGGTTAGATACACTCCCTCTCCTTGAGGAACTGAGTATTAAGGAATGTCCTAATCTAGAGTTGATTCCAATTACACAGGGCATGGCATCTCTTCGGGAATTAAGTATTGGTTATTGTAAACGATTGTCAAGCCTACCGAGTGGGTTAGAGTACTGCACCTCTCTCCAGAAATTGAAAATTTGGGAATGTAATGGACTATCATGCCCACTGAGCGTATGGGCCTCTCTCGTGGAGTTGATGGTATGGAGATGCAATAATCTGACATCAATTGAAATTAAAGGCGGCGTGTCCTCTCTTCAGCATTTGACAATTAGAAATTGCAAAGAATTATCAAGCTTACCTGCTCTTCCACAACAATGTCCCTCTCTTCAGCATGTGGAGATAAGTGAATGCCCAAAGGTAGCATCGTTTGGTGTCCAAAGTAGCAGCATTACTCTACAATCTACTTCAGATTTGCGCACCATGACCTCCCTTCGACAACTGACAATTGGAAGAGGATGTGAAGGATTGGAAAATTGGGTTAGCGGGCTGCAATTCCCACTCTCTCTTGGGTCGCTGATAGTAGAAGGTTTCCCTAATTTAGAGATTCTTCCAAGTTTAAACAACCTCAATTCTCTCCGTTCTTTGGAGATTAGAAATTGGCGAAGGCTAAAATATCTGCCGACGGGGTTACAACGGCTCCCGCGCTTGGAGTATTTGAGCATCGGTGGGTTCTGGGAGGAGCTCGATTCCTTCCCTTTCCCTAATTTTCAAGTTGGATCGTTAATGCACCTTACAACCTTATACTTGTTTGGTTGGCCTGAGCTCAGGTCTCTGCCTCAACAAATTCAACACCTCACTTCTCTAACATCATTGTGGGTATATAACTTTGAGGGAGTGGAGACTTTGGCAGAATGGTTGGGTAGCCTTACATCCCTTACAGAGCTGGAGATTTGGAATTGCAAGAATCTGACCAACTTACCTAGTGTCCAAGCTATGCAACGCCTCACCAAATTACATACCCTGTTTATCGAGGGATGTCATCCCCTTTTAAAGCAAAGATGCACCAGGGACAGCGGCACAGATTGGCCTAAGATTTCTCACATTCCGTATATCGAAAGTAAGTTTTTAAATTCTTGAAATCAAATTACGGAGTTCATGTTAATTATATGTTTATCTCTTTTGTTCGTTTAAATCAGTCCGGAGTCATACAGCAGTCGGATTGAATGTACACAACACCTTACCAAACCACAGCAAATGAGTTGCGGAAAAACCAAATTTCATGGTGTGCATGCAAGGCCACATTTCTCTGAGATTACTTGAAATTAATCCATGTAAGCTTTTCTAATCTGCATCTCCTCTTCTCTTCTAAATTTATTGTAGTGTTCACTTCTGACTATATCTGTTGTGTTTTCCAGAGGCATCTACATTTCTTTTGGCATGCAATGGCGTTTTTTCAGGATGCTCAGTATGTGCAAACTGAGTACAGGTACTGATGCACGAGATATTAAATTTCCCGCTCAACCTTCATTCTAAAAAATATACCTTAAGTTATAGTACTTATCAAGCTAGCAAGCCTCTTTTTACGGCAACATCAATTCGATATGTTAACTTTCTTTACTTCATCTGTACGAGCGCTGAACCACTAGCTTAATTACCGGTTCATGGTATTCAAATCTTGTTAGAAATTTGGAAGAGTAATGCCAATACTTGTGATCATGTAAAACCATGATCGTATAATATATAGATTTACTGTAATTGCTTTCTGTTTGTTATTATCCTTATATATGAAGGTTCTGGGCAGATATTTTTATGGTTACTTGTGATTTCTGAACAAATTTTCTAATCATATGGATAGTGATTTGAATTCAATTGATTTCTTTATTTCTAATTCATATCCCTTGAGTAACTTGATGAACTGTCATTTACCTGTGTTATTGCATAAATTAGGTAAAGAATGGTCAGTTGCAATGCTGAGTTTGGGACTAATAATTTGGCGAATTTAAGAAATCTGCGGAAAGGTCTACATACCCGAAATTGATAAAATTCACCATTGGCCGGTTATGGGGGGAGCTCAATTCCAGTCCTGATGTTCAAGGTTGATCATTGCAGCTTGAATCCTTACATTTGAAAGGGTGGCCAAAGCTCAAGTCTCTCATCAAATTCAACACTTAACTTCTTTAACTACTTTATGTATCAACTACTTGAGGGAGTGGAGGCTTTACCAGAGTTGTTGGGCAACCTTACATGCCTTATAGGGCTGACGATTAGGAATTACAAGAAATTGATGAATCTATCCTCTGCAAAAGTTATGCAACGTGTCGCCACTTTACTGTCGCAGCGAATTAAGCAATGTAAGTTTTTCAAACTCCGCCTCCTTTTCTCTTCAAGTAATTAAATTGACTTACTATATGTGTTGTGATTTCAGTAGTCATATATTACTTTTTTTAGTATCCTTTGGCATTTTTCGTGACGTTCTTACTCAATTAGAACGATGTAGTTCTGTAGGTGCAAATAGGGTTCATGTACTGATGCACAAGACATGTTTTTCCAAAAAAAAGTGGTGTTTCTTGTTTTAGATATTGTTTCGTCCTTCTTTCATCCACTGCATGCAAAATTGCTCATTCTACCCTGTACTTGCCTTACAGTCCTTTTCAAGCTAGCATGTAATTTCTGAAGTGGCTCATAACGTTGTTGTTGATAAATACATTGAAGTCAAATCAGACTTGGTTGTTCAACCATCTGTCGCTGACTTTTAGTTCCACAGGCCCAGCATAGTTCTCATTCTGATACACATTGTTTTGTTCCAAAACTTTTTAAGTGGAATTTTGCTTCTGTCCAGATTGATACGAGAGTGATATTGAGTCATTTAAATGTGCTTTTAAAATGACTGAAAGCACTTTTGATGAAAATGTTTTTGGAACCAATCCTTGGTAAAAATGCAAGTAAATCCTGGAAAAGCACTTAAAGTGCTTTTGGAACCCAAAAATATTTTCTCTAAAAGCGCTTTCAGCCATTTTAAAAGCACATTCAAACGAGTTGTTGATTTTTGTGTCTTTCGTAGCAGAACATTCAAGGTCTTGGGACTTTTTGGTATTCACTGATATTATTGCTGGTGTGTAACTTCGAATATATGTAAACCAAATTGATACTTTCGATTGTTATGACATACAAATATATGTAAACCAATTTAATACTTTCGAATGCTATTCTTTTTTGTCAAAACAAAAAATAACGAAATCATAAACAAGAATGTTCTGCATAACACCTATATATGTTCAGCGCACGTTACACAATTTCGATAATTGTGACTTTTATGGTCACTTGTGATTTCTGAAAGGATTTACTAATCGTATGGACAGTGATTTGAATTCAGTTGATTTCTTTATTTCTAATTCATATCCCTTGAGTAACTTGATGAACTTTCATGTACCTGTGTTATTGCATAAATTAGGTAAAGAATGCTCAGTTGCAATGCCAAGTTGGGGACTAATAATTTGGGCAATTTAAGCAATATGCGGAAAGGTCTACTTAACTGAAACTCATAAAATTCACCATTGGTGGGTTCTGGTAGGAGCTCAATTCCACTCCTGATGTTCAACGTGATCATTGCAGCTTGAATCGTTACATTTGAAAGGGCAGCCAAAGCTCAAGTCTCTCATCAACTTCAACACTTCTTGAACTACTTTATGTATCAACTACTTGAGCGAGTGGAGGCTTTACCAGAGTTGTTGGGTAACCTTAGATGCCATATAGGGCTGGGGATTAGGAATTACAAGAAATTGATGAATCTATCCTCTGCAAAAGCTATGCAATGCATTGCCACTTTACTGTCGCAGTGAATTAAGTAATGTAAGTTTTTCAAACTCCACCTTCTTTTCTCTTCAAGTAATTAAATTGACCAACTATATATGTTGTGTTTCCAGTAGGCATATATAACGTTTTTTGTATCCTTTGGCATTTTTTGTGACACTCTTACTCAACTAGAACGATGTAGTTCTGTAGGTGCAAATAGGGTTCATGTACTGATGCACAAGACTTGTTTTTTCCAAAAAAGTGGTGCTTCTCATTCTATCCTGTACTTGCCTTACAGTCCTTTTCAAGCTAGAATGTAATTTCTGAATTGGCTCATAACGTTGTTGTCGATAAATACATTGAAGTCAAAGCGGACTTGGTTGTTCAACCATCCACCGATCACTTTTAGTTCCACAGGTCCAGAATAGTTCTCATTCTGATACACATTGTTTTGTTCCAAAACTTTTTAAGTGGAATTTGCTTCTGTCCAGATTGATACGAGAGTGATATTATTGTTGATTTTTGCGTCTTTCCTAGCAGAACATTCAAAATCTTGGGACTTTTGGTATTCACTGATATTATTACTGGTGTGTTTGAATATATGTAAACCAAATTGATACTTTCGATTGTTATGACATACAAATATATGTAAACCAATTTAATACTTTCGAATGCTATTCTTTTTTGTCAAAACCATTACTAAATCATAAATAAGAATGTTCTGCATAATGCCTATATATGTTCAGCAAGCGTTACACAATTTTGATAATTGGGTTGAATCTGTAATTGGTAATACTTTGTAAACCATACGAAATGTTTATTTTGCAGCAAGCTTGTTGGACCTGGATATTACTCATGAGAGTCTTCGAGGGATTTTTTCGTTCATGGAACCCACTCTGCCTCAGCCCTCAGCGGTGGCAGGGAATGCTGTTGAGGATATAAACTTTTATGGCCTAGGAAACAAAAATGGTAGAGGAGAGGTGTTCCTGCTGCGAAAATTGCAACATATAAAGTATGCGAGCTTTTCTGCTTCAGTCATATCAGGTTGTCTGTTTTAATTAACAGAACCAGTTTGAAAATTAATACTCATGGTAATTTCTTTCCTGCAGATTTTACTTCTTGTTGGCACTATGTTGGAGCATGTAGTTTCTCAAATGTATCGTGAGGTTGCCGAGAAATTTACGTTGCCATCAAATTCGAAGGGGACTTAATTGTTTATCCTTTAGAGGATTACTTTTGGTTCAACAACTCAAACTTGTCCTCTTTGTGACTTTAATATTAATGTGGTTGGTATTTCTTCTCAACTGGCATTTTCTTCATTAGCTTCAATTGATGACAATCGAGAGTTCCAACTTCTAAGGTACCAGAGGACTTGTTGAGTTTTTGGATTACTGGCATGGGAGTACTTATTGTGAATCTAAAAGTGTTGAACCATTTTCTTTTTTCCTGTTTCTTCACTGATTTCTTTTCAACTGGAATGTGTCCTCTAGATGTGAGATAGATTGTGATCTTAAAGTTACAGACTAATGACATTTTATCCCAATGAAAATTGTAGCACTTTCCTTATTCGTTTGATTCTTGCATAATGAGGAAGGTGGGCAAGTGTTATTCCAACACTTCTTATCTGCTAAAACCATGTTCATATAATATGTAAAATTGCAGCAATTGTTTTCTCTTCCAACAAAAAAAAAAATTACTCTTATGAAGATTTTGGACTGAGATTTTTATGATTCCCTGTACGCAGAGTGATTTGAATTCAGTTGACTTTTGTATCTGTGATTGATGACCCTCGAGTAACTTGATGAACAGTGTGTACCCACACTATTGCAGAAATTAGGTAAATGAATCTTCAGTTCCAAGGGAAGTTGAAATTTGTTGTTCATATTTTTCTTAAGTTGTTTTGGTGTTATCTTTGTATAGATAGAATTGGGATTGCGATCAAAACTCATGCGTGGATCAGTATCATTCTTCAACTTCAATCATGTTTCCATATCATCAAATCTTAATTTGGATACAAATTGGTAATCTTTTATCTTGTCGGTTACAACTAGATCAATATTCTTTGTTTGATACTCGTTGCCAAATTGAAATGCATCCTCACAGAGATTTGAATTCAGTTGAATTTTTTTGTTGTGTAGATCTTAGGAAGCTGGGACTTCCTAGCATCCTTTGTGCCCTGCATTGCTTTCAAAGGAGAGTGCAAGAAGCAGCCAACTGTTGAATAAAGGGAGAGCTTGAGATTAAAAGTGAAAAAACTATTGTACATTGTCATAGTAAAAATTGGAGAAACTACTAAATGTGGACATAGCCCTGCGTATGGAAGGTTCGTACAGTCCTATGGAAGGTCCGTACAGTCCTTTGTGCCCTCGTATGGAAGGTTCATACAGTCCTATGGACTTAGTATTGTCTTTAATGAAAGAAAGAAATTCTGGATGTTTTATTGGAGATGACAGTGTAAAATGAGTTACAGCATATAATGTGTGCTTTTCTCCTTTTATTTTACATTGAACAATCTAAGCACAAATTTTTTCCATTTTTCAGGCTTTCTCCATTTCAGTCACCTTGAGCTTATTAGTCTTCCGAAATGATGATAACGATGTTGTAGGAGTCATGCCTGTTGCGAAACAAAGCTTTCTCTTTTGCTTGTAAAATAGTAGATTCATTGACATGGAATGCCATAACGATGTCGGTGCAGGTCCATATTGTGTATTTGGGGTCACTCTTCCTGATGGTGTTTACTCACCATTGTCTCAACACCTTAGAGTTCTACAGAGAGTTATCGGGCCGGGAAGGTAACACTCTCCTTTGAGACACTTTCTTATGCCATTATAAAGGATTGACTTTTTTTTTCTTTGAGAATTAGTCTTGTTTATAATAAATTGTGCATTGCAGATATGTAGTAGTCTCTGTTCTTTTAAGCAGAAAATTCAAGCTGCAAACAACAAGATCTTCGGAATTTATGGGATTAAGTGATAAAGTTACTGGAAATGCCACTATCGAGAGTGACATTATTGTTGTTGTTATTGGCAGTGGGATTTGGCCAGAATCTAAGAGCTTTAAAACAAATGTTTTGGTCCTCCTCCCCAAAGGCGGAAAGGTGCTTCAGTACAATAAGAAGAGTGCTTTTACTGCAGGTAACTTGCTTTTACTATATGAACATAAGAAGAGTGCTTTCGTATATGCCACCTTGATATGTCAGATTATACTTCAAACTTGTTAGAAAGTTCATTGGCGTGAGTTGAGTGTAATCTTTAATACTCACTCTGAAAAGTAATTGCCTTTGTAGCATCAGTTGAAAAGTTGAAATTTGTTCTCTATCTTTTTTCATGAATTCTTTGTTATATTGGACCAGGCAGAATTGGGATTCCGGTAGAAACTCATGCGCGAATCATTTCTCACACTTACATGTTTCCTTCTCAAAATATCTTAATTTGGATAAACTGGTAAGCTCTCATCCCTTTAATTACACTGGATCAACATTCTTTGTCCGATGCTCGTCAGAAGTATAACCTTATCCGTTTTAACACAGGCAAACAGCATGGGTGATGGAACTGAGGTCTTGGACGTGCAAGCAGCAGCCAAACTGTTGGATACTAGACAAGAAAAAAAAGAGCGAGAGCTTGAGATTGAAAGTGAGAAAACTATTGTACTGAAACATGTCACATCGATCGCTACTGAGTTTAGACTTTTTAGTCCTCTGTCTAGTTAATTTTTGCTACGCCTTGATGTCCAATTTACACAAGCTGCTTTTCCTTGTAGGTAGCAAGCTGGAATTAGCAGCTCCTTTTCATCAGTCAACTCCCAGGCCTCAAACAAGCAATGTAGACTGATCGGATAAAGATGACTTCATCATGAATGTTGTCAAATGGTGTCTACCACAACATATGAACAATTGGTGCTAATTCGAGCTCTGTAGCATTTCCAGTTCATCCCTCTCCAACGGATGTTCAGATTCTCGGCTCATGATTTTCAGTCAGATTGTAGGGTTCAAAACGTCAACTTAAAGTGCTCAAAGGAAAGCCACTTCTTCATGAAGTTTGTGCAAATTGTTTCCACTTAACATATTTAAAGTTGGTTATGATTTACTCACTGTAGAATTCTGTATGCTCAAAACACCGAAGCATGCTCTGAGGAAACTGTAGCAGCTACCTTTGGACTTCTAGCTTCAATGAATACTGTCGACAATAGGAGCAGAGGCAGGAAGCAAAAGCAAGCAAAGAAGGATTACTTTAGTACTTGAAAGCAAGTTGTTGCTTCCAAATAATTGCAAGACTTGATTTCAGCTCTTATAATAGCAAGAAAAAGCAAGTTATTGCATAAGTTTGTATGCTTAGCATGTTTTGATCTTATGTAGTTCAATTATTTGTTTACATGTGATGCTTCGAATTCATACTTTTAAGCGAAGAAGAATTTAACTACGTATACCACTTTGTGAGTTAAAAATTGATAGATAAGTAGTAAGGAACTTCGAATTTATACAATCCCTATGAATCCGACCTCGTACTAATAACGTCCTATATTTCAATATATTTGTGCACTTGCAAGTATAAATTTTAAAACATACAAATTTTTGGCACCACATGTACTAACCTCACATTGCAACTCTCTTCACGCTCCACTTTTACACTCAAAATTGCTCTCAAGCCATTGCAAATGTAACCTACATTATCATAGTGAAATCTAGAGAAACTATTCAACGTGGACGTAAATGGAATGAATATGTCTATGAATATATCTACTCAACCTACATTACCATTGGTTTTATGCTAATGTCAGTATTGCAACCCCAATATATCATGTCTCACTCACACAATTTTATATCCATTACCCATTTTTGGGAGTCGACAAGAGTCAATTCGATGGCTAATACGCTCACAAAAGTTTTTTGCACTATTCTAAGCAATGTTTTGATTCAATGCAATTTCTCAAGAGTTTAAATTTAATGATCGTCTGTCACATTTCTCCCAATGACGAAATCCATTCCATTCACATTTCCACAACAATTATTAGTTGCCCCATAACAAAAACAAGCCTTTGCTACAACACATGCCCGCGCGTGTCCATGTGGCCATGTTCTGCTGTTTGTTGTAAGATACAGACCTTTTTATATTGCTGAAAAGGATACAACACCAACTTCTAGCACACTAAAAAGACGGCCTCCCGAATCTCATTAAAAAGTTACTACTTACTACCAAAAGCCTAAAAAGAACTTGTTGAAAGTGATTGTGTGGATAGGGTTGCGTTTCTTCATATTTTTGCGGACTCTCTATATCAAGAATCGCACTAAATAGGGTCTTTTGGAGGAAGAAACGTACCTACAATTAGGGAAGTGGAAAGTCGCAGTGACTGCTGTGCATGATTGGCTTGCAATACTGACATCATAACATTCTAAGAAAATTGTTCTCCATTTTGGATGATGGTACCTTTTTTCGAACATTCCATGCAAATTACCAACCGGTTCAAGTTCAGTGGCATCTTACCGCTTTTTTTTTTTTCTGACGAACGATACAATAATCAACACTAAATTTATTTAAACTACGGAAAGGAGAATTCAAACTTGAGTGCAAGAGAAGCACAATATAGTCAACTTGCTTAAGCCCAGATCTGCGGCACATCTTACTTGATAAAGCTTTCTCGTTTTTTATAAATATATATATATCATTAAGGTTACAACTGAGAAATTGGTTACAACCTGAATGAGGTGAATGTCATTTCTCCAGGAAAACTCAAATGTGAAAGGCCCAGCGGGTGTTTTTTAGCCTACCTCAGCAAACCTCCACTTCACAACTACTCTTTGCTTTTACACTCAGAAACTTACGGGAAAAAATGACAGATAGATATACAAATTTTACCAATAATCTAGTGGAATATCTCTAAAATTGACCCCCGGAGAATGTCTGACCAAACTGCCAATTACCAGGCGCTACGTTGTAGCTCGTGACGGTTCTACCGTCACTGGTGGTGACTTGGAAGGAGAGGGCTTGGCCATTGAGGTAAGAGTTGCTCTGCCAGTTTTGACCCCAGTTTCTTGACATGGGTTGCCACCCTGTTCTGGACCCCTTGATTGAAACTGAATGGACGTCTCCTGCCCCAGCCACGTTGGTGATCAAAACCAGGTTGAAGTAGGAGTGGCCGTTGATGGTGAATCTTATTCCTCCTTTCTTCACACAAGGTACTCTGCCAAGACAAAACACAATTATAATCGGCTAATGTTGGCTTTTCAAATATTTGACGTGTTATGTTGTCACTAACTGAGAGCCATACATTTTAAAAAAAGAACTAATTTAATTATATAGATTCTCAGTTTGACAATATAACATCTTAAAGTTTTCGATTGTAACCTATTTCCATAGTAATTTCACCATGATTAAACTCCGTTTTATATTATCTACTAAACTTGTGATAACCAAAGAAATGTTCATCTTTAACTTCAAGGCCTACCTTCTGAAGGAAACCGGCACTATTCCGGCGCGGTATTGGGCAATTTGCAAGAAAGCAGGCTCAGCCAAATCGAAGTGTTGGAGAGGAGGATTGCACCATCCGCCATTGTCGTTGGACTGAGCAAAGTTAGGAGGGCAAAAGTTTGTAGCAGTAACAATGATGGATCCAGGACGGCACCATCTCGGGTCATTGTCGCATCTCATTTCATAACAAGACCCACAGCTCAAGCCATTGTTGAACAATGCTGTGCTCAAAGCTGCAGTGTTGGTTCCATACCCCTGGCTGTACAAATTCCCATAACCACATGCTCCTCCTGCAAAAACCCAAATCAAATTAATATCAAACCCAACGATCTTAAATTAAACAAATCTTTTTCTTTCGTTACTGAAATGTTGTTTACAGTCCCAGTTTTGGCTCGTTTAGAATGTTTCTATTCTATGAGAAACACTTATGCTCATAAGCGCTTTCATTAAAAATTGTAAATTTACATAATTATCGTCATGAAAATGCCTTTTGAGGAACCACCTCAAAAACCCATAAAGGGTACTTTATAAGCGTTTTTAAATGTCTAAAAACACTTTTTTTTTTTTTTTTGTACTGTGATAAGTAGTTGAAAGTTAAGTTTTGGACTTACCCATTGTGCCGGAGGCATCACCGCCACCATAAAATGTGGCATGAGCGCCTTCCCAGCTACCATAAACAGCAAATGCACCATGCAGATGTAGATTAAAGAGAACAACAGAGAGGGCTATAGGAGCCAAAGACAATGCATGAACTGCCATTTTTTGTGGCTTTTTGGTGGGTTTTGATTTCAATAGGGAAAAGAAAGAGAGGAGTTTTAGTTTTTGTGTAGGGCAGGTGGCGTTTGCTCTGTGCTTTACGGTGCACTAGGGTTCCTCTATTTATAAGGAAACTTGGGAGGATTGTGAGTGAGTTTGTTTGCATATTATTTCACAGAAAACAGCCACAAACAAGTAATTGAGAAAACCAAATGCACATGCCCTGGTTGTGGTTGGGATTACCAACCGATATCCCCGTGGGCCAAACTTTTCACATGCATTTCTCATCCATTAAATCTCTTACAAATTTTAATAAGTTATATATTCTGATTTTCTTTGATTGCATTGAGATGGGTCCGTCAACACATATGAATTTTATCTCTGCTAGGGAGGTGTTACAAGTATGGTATGGAAAATATGGTAAGAGTAACATTTTTGTTTTTATATGTGAAACATTGTCGGGATTTGAATTTGAGTAGACTGTTTCAATTAAATTAGACTAATAATGTCTAGTTGTTGCTTATTGAACTTATAAATATTAAGACTAGACTTACGTACTGAATTGGATATCAATATACTGGGTCTTACAAGTCCCGTCTCAAGATGTAGGACTCTATAAAATTTTCTTGTACTCAGTTTCAATCTTGTTTAGTCCTTCTCATCAAACAGGCATGTGAATGATGGTAACTTAGGAGTGTGAATAACATTTTCTTTTAGTTTTTAGTGCTTAACTAATTTTGATTAAAAAATAAAGGTGGTAATTCTTAGTTTGTGGCCCAAGAAAGTTGAAAATTCCCTTCTATTTATTGAATAAATTGTAGGTAGTCTTAACAGATAATGGTATCTTTGCACAAGGGAGAAATTTTTGCTTAATCAAAACATGGAATTTTAAAGTATTTTATTCTCTAATCCTTATCCATTTATGAACATTCTGATCCTTAAGAGAGAAACAAAGTTAAGGGCAAGATATAAATGAGGTTGCAAGTAGAAGTTCCAAATCTGTGCAGAATGTGATTAGCAACTTGGAGTAGTCTTGAGTACTGCTCATGGTGGGAAGTGGCCGAGTCCCACCCATTATTTCGTTTTAGTGCTTCAATTTGGGTAGTGCATGTGTTATGTTTTGACACTGCCCCACCCCCCACACATATCTCTTCTCCCTTGAATAGTAACATAGCATTAACTTATTAAAGGCAATAAATTAAGGTCTTACTTCCAAGTTGATCTTCGCTTGGTGCGGTTTCTCCTTCGTAGACGGTCGGACGCCTTCAATCATCTCGTTCAATAAAATAGCGACTGAGTCTGAGTGTCACTATATTAAATGATTACAAATTAATTGGATATTGATTATGTCTAAAATAAAAGGGCTTCAAATTACAATAATAATATATGTATAAACATTGTTATATCTTGATGTAAGCATATTCTGAAAAATTATTAATGCAGAACATTTATTCTTTGTTAAATGACGGATTTTGTATTTTATGGACAATAGTATTAGGATTTTATCGATTAATCGAAGTTTGGTCTAGAAAATAACTGTGTATTATGATATGAGTAAGTACAGACAATAAATTTATAGGCTCTTATCTATTGTATACTATCCATGTAATATATGTGATTTACATTTGTATGTTTGTATGATGGTGTGAATATTATTCTGTATAAAATTAGTAATGATTTTTCTGGAAAAAAAAAAATGAAACTCTAGTGTTACTTGGGCATGGGGACATCAGGAACTATATGTCCCCTTTTTGTTGGGCGATTGGTCACATGGATGGCCGACTTTACATTGAATAGGCGAGATCCCTCCTGCCTGAATTTTGAACCACCAAATTAAGGCATGTTGCTGTGAACTTGAGTTTATTAGAGGCTTGGGACCAAACAGCCGACGTACTGCCATCAAATTTGAGTAATGGGGCATTTGTCTCCTGTGTATATTTGGATAATGTGATAGTGTGATCTTTTTACGCACGCCTTTGTTTATTTTTGTCCATTAATTTTCTTTTAATTTGTTCAATTCAATGACTAAAAATGCACAAGAATGTGTAAGGAGAGAAGATAAATGTATGAAAGTTGATATTATATGCGCTCTTTTTCCTTTTCAGACCAATGTGATGGAACCCAATGAGTATATGGTGACTCCGTCTTTGGACCAAACATATATAAATGGTGAACCACATTATTACAAACTCATTAATAGACTTCATTTGTTAAAAAAAAAACATATATATTCTTCATGTGAAAAGTTCAAATAACTTTAAACCTGAAAAAAAAAAGTCGAATGTAGATAAACACATTTAGGTCCGTAACTTGACAAAGAGAGTTTAATTAACATTTAGGTTTGACGGTCGGGATCGTTTGTCACTCACTGAACGACATCATTTGATGATTCCCAGACTTTTTGAATGAGTTTTGGTTCAGTTCTTGTCATCTTGCTTCCAACTCTTCTGCTTCAATAATATATATCATTGTTGTACACGTGTGAGTGCATGTGTGTACGTAGGAACGGGTGAAAACAATTCACTCGCATACAAAACCCTAATTACAGGTGTCACCACAGCCTATTACTCTAATTGATGCCACGCATATATATTTTTTATTTTAATTGCTCTTAGTCTCTTAATCAAAGAATTAACTAAGAGATGGAACAAAAACAATTCTGCTAACAATTAACAAGATAAATGTTCATGAACCATGATTAAAAAGACAAATGATTCGTATTAATTGTCTTAAATTTGTAATTCTTTCGGACGACAAGTAGCAATGCACCTTTATCTTATGCATGCACAAATTGTCAACTATCTTTTTTTCATTCTTCTTTCTGTACTAATATCCTCATTAGAAATTACGATTATTTACTCCCAATCTACCGACCAGGGCATTTTAAAGTGAAAGTGGCAGCAGGACATATTAATCTACCGACCAGGCCCTTTTAAGCAATTTTAATGGTAAATTTCACCTCGAATGTCATATATTTATATACTTGCCAACTGCATTGTTTAATTTGTTTCTTTAAATAAAAAGCAAGATGTCGCTTAGTACTACAGTTTAGTAGCATTCATCTTCAATTATATGTAAAATGTTTTAAGTTAAATTTTCATCACAGACGAATTTCAATTACATTTTTACTAGTCCATTGTGAGACTAAAAGCCACCCTCTTAATGTAAATGATATCATTTGTTCAAAAATAAAAAATAAAAAACATGATTGTACATAATCAAGAATGGTAAGGGTATTCATAAAATTGTTGGTGCACAAAACGCTACTTTTACGGAATCTTTTATACTATATTTGTACCGCCTCTTTAATAGAGATGAGATTTACATATATTTGAAAGTCTTGATTCGATTAGAAGTGGTATAAACACGGTATAAAAAATGTAATAAGTGTAACATTACTTTTTATTGGTGCTTTCGATTCTCTTCTCTACAGACTTTTCACTGCGTTAACTCATTAGATTTGCATGATAAAACTATTGTATGTCAAGAAAACAAAGATAAAATTGTTATTTAATTAGTTATTAGAAACAAATTGAGTCTGAAAAGTTGGATATATATCATATACACATGTCGGTCCTGCAATCTTATGAGCACATGCACATTAGTTTTATGTTTTCGGCATTTAGCGTTCATGCATGCATCACTTTTTTGTAAATCTTTGAAAATATATCCCATGGAACAAGAACGACAATATTATGTATTTTTGTAATCTCCAAGAAACAAAGCCATGAGGAAGCATCTTAAACCACCGTTTTGTCCCACGTCAAAACCCTACGGTTCCCTTGCCTTGGATGAATTCCTGTCCACGCTTGAAAGAAGAGAATATATGAGTTGGGGTTTAGGGTTTAATTAAATTTTCTAGCAAATCCAATGAAGAAAAATTGCATTACGACTTGCAATCTTTACTGCAGATTGTGTACATATTTGTAAGATTATCTTAGGATCTTTATTCTTCAAGTCTTAGTGCAATTTTTTTCTTCTCTAAGTGCATGTATCAAGAGATTTTTATAAAACATGAGATCGAAAATCTTCAGCTGAGTTGTTTTTGTCACGTGAGAATGCTGGTTAACAGAACATTCGTGTAATAAGATGACATGTGTCCAAATTTGACAAGTGTCATAATAATACATTTTTGGTGTGTTATTTTTTAATGTGCATCAACCATACTGTCACACGACAAAACATGTCATTGGCCTTCATTAGCATAGTAACACCACATAATTAAGGAACCCAGCAAGCAGCAGGAATTTGAAAACATTAATTTAAGCCACAATACACATTTTTCTTTTTCTTTTTTTTGTTCTTTTATTTATATATATATTTTTGTCATTTTCAATAATAATACTAGATCAAATATTGGGTAGGAACATGATTAGTGACCGGAGCTCCTAAGCGTCCATGTCCATGGCATTAGATAAACCAAATTATCGACAAGGGAGCATAGGGGATTAAATTATCTATTACAGTTAGTTAGAGGTCTCTGAAAGTGCCCTTCACAAGGACTTGTCTTGAGTTTCTTGGAAAGAGGATAGACCTTCATATCAGATTTAGATAGGGGAAAATAAGAACATGGTCTTAATCGGAGCTCACCAAGGACCCTACAAACAAGCTCCTAAATGCATCTCAATCATATAACCCAAAACTCTACCATGTGCATTTCAAAACAAACTTGGGAAATTTGAACCCAATATAATCCTGATTGATTTCTTTTGCTTTATCTAAGCGGCGATACTTCAAGTCAATCACGTATTGCAAATATGGCAAATTCCAAGAACAAGTTTTTCCTATTTTATTGAAGGGAAAAGGCAATTACTCAAAGGATTGCTCATTCACTACCTCTTCCAGATGGTCATATCTACCCACCCACCCACAACCTAGCCAAAACTGAAACTGAGGCCCCTTCAGTGTTTCTAATGGTACAATTGTTATAAATAAAAAATTAAAAAAAAAAAATCAAAGCAGGGTTCACTCAGAAAAATAAAATAAGAAATTCAAAACAGGGTCTCCGATTATTTTCATAGATTTAGATCGCGCTTCAGCTTTTTTTGGGTTCGTGTTGAAACCCTAAACACAATCCGTCAGTTGCTTCGTTATTTGTTTTTTTTAGTCGAACCCATGCTTGTAGGAGTGTAGGCACATGAGAAATGACAAGATTAGAAATGAGAATATCCAAGGTAAAGTAAGAGTAGTCGAAATTGAAGGAAAGATGAGAGAAAATCGATTACGGTGGTTTGAACATGTGAAACGAAAGCCTATTGACGCTTGGTTAAAAGATGCGATTACGGAATAGAGGTTCAGGGCTGAAAGGGTAGAGAAAGACCTAGGAAGACTTTGGAAGACTCTAAGAAAAGACTTAAAGTACTTGGATCTAACGGAAGAAATGACACAGAACTCAACGCAATAGCGTTCTAGGATTCATATAACCAACCCCATTTAGTGCGAAAACACTGTTGTTGTTGTTGAACCCATGCTTGTAGGGACGCTTTGTGGTCAAGAATCGAAGAATCAGAGCAAGAAATAATTGTCATCCCAAATTTCACTTCATTCAAATGAATGCATCTAGAATCCCAATATACTGGTATATGTATCTGACTTGAACTTTTGCTCTTCGAGGTGGTCATATCGATGGTCGATCCATCTACAACTAGTCAAAACTGAGGCCTTCAGTGTTTCCAATATAGTTCAACTTTTAATCAAGTAATCAAAGCTTGTTCACATTTTCAACAAAGGCTAGGATAGAACTTTGATGACTTCTTGAACGTTGCAGGGTCTTCGATGGCTTGGATAGACTTCGGTTGTGGTTCCGCCTCTCTCGGGTCAGTGTTGCAACCCCAAACACGAATCGCTAGTCTACGACACTTGGGAGATGATTGCTGCAAATACGTTTTGTACCAGTCAATAACGTCCTTCTTCTGAATACTGCCGAGTTCTTCTGCTTCTCTTTTTGACTGGTCGAACATATACCTGTGATCAACAAGTATTTACGTTAGAAGGAGCTTCGAACCACAACAATTAGAAAGTTCAAAGACGCAATTTCAGCTAATTGCGATTCCACTCCTAGTTTATTTTTTGCAACGCAAACTAAAATAAAGCCCGTAAGTCTCAAACCGCATATACTACAAGAAACCCATTTAATTAACAGAATGATGTTTAAATGCAATCTGGACAACCAAGGAGGATAACAGCACCTTTGCTCGATAATCTGATTCCAAAATCTGTTGGTTTCGTACGTGAGGGATGGATCTTTCTCCAATAGCTTAGCAAGTAGTCCACTTTTATAATTCTCAAACGAATCATCATCAATCCCGTCCTGCAAATGCCAACATATTCTCAGTAACTGAAATCGCAATGCAGAAACAACAATCACGCAACTCAAATCATGGAAGTAGTATAACACAAGGATATCAGATCCAAGCGAAGTTTTCCACAAAGTCAAATTAATTTATATATCTAACAATAGGGAACCTCAAATTGCAAAACCGCATACGCAAGTCACCTTCGCATAGCACAATAGTGAAAAAGCTTACGAGATGCTCAAACTAGCAGCATTCAAATTAGAGGGAAACTTTGACTGCTTACCAACATTTCTTCCAGCCCGTTTATAAAGTTATCAACTCTCCCTTGTAAGTAGATTGGGTCGTACTCAGACGACTGGACACAGAAACAAAAGCCATATACACGGTATGTTACCCGGGGGCCACACTCAACAACATATCCAAGCTGCTCCTTCGTCCTATTTCCAGAAATAGCAGACAATTATATGAACATATATTCAAATATATAAGAATATATTCTTATCAGATCCCAGATTCTTTTGCTAGCCAGTATGTAATTAAAAGTATCAGCCTCAAATAAAATCACCTTAGTTGATTGAAAAGTGGTTCCTCCACAATTTCATCAAAAAGATCTATCAATGTTTTCAATCGGATTGACTCAATCCCTGCTTCTTGCTCAACTTGAAAATACAGCTGCAATATGAAACCACAACCAAGGGAAGAATATCAACGTATAAGACAAAGAAAGTACATCTTCATATAGGGAAAACTGAAATGAAAATGTTCCATTTTGAGTTACCTCAATCACAGAGTTCGTTTCTGACTTATTCTTCACATTGGAATCCCTAATCAGGTTAGCACCAGGAGGAAGACAAATAACATGCTCTTTATGCCTCAATTCAATAGGCAGTGGTGGTACAGAAAAATTCAATTTGAATATATTTGACAGGGTAATTGCTTCATCTTCTAACAAATTTCCATGGCAAAGGCCCTCAATGTATAGCTGCACATGTTAAGGGGAGGGTAAGCTGAAGAAAATGCCTTAATTAAACTAATTCTATGAGCCTGGACAAAAAAAAAAAAAGAATAATTCTAATATCAAATATAAAAAAATATTTTTAAAGAATAGTCAAATTAATTATTGGGTTCACATATGGCAGCAACTCTCAAATTCTCTCACTAGAACATACTACTCTGCACTTATCAAGTTACATGTCAAAGTGAAAGAATATGAGGTGAAGAAGCCTGAACCGCATGGATTTCTCATGAAAATAGACCCGGCAGGAGGAGGATGTTAAGAACTTGAGTTTCACGAATTGACAGCAGTAACCTATAACAAATATAGGTTCATTTGTGTAGTGTACCTGGGAACAAAGCGCAGGAATGAACGACTTCAAATCAGAAACAGACAATTCATCCAAAACATGCAACTTCTCATCTGCATCATAAAAAATTTGACACAGAACTTGCAGTCTTAAGTATGATGAGTGACTCAGAGGTTTCATATTGGTGTTCTTTAACCTTCGCTTCATATCTTCTTTAACGACCTGTTAAAGTGTCAATTAGCAATAGACAAACCAAAAGAAACAAGCAAGGTATGCAAAATCAAACTTAAACCAGACATAAAGTGGAGTGATGGAAACAAAAGGCAACACATGTACCTTAAAACGATCATCTGTTGGCATGAAACTTTTGGCAGTTGCCAACACTTTTGACAAGAGAGCTGGAAGTTTATCGTTAAATCCATAGACCTTCAGCTCCAGTTTGTCACTGAACACAGAGACAGAAGTTTCCAGCTTGGCAACAATGGCCTGCACGCACAGAACAAAGGTTATTCTCATGTAGACATTTCAGAAGCATGTTTGATAGGAAAAAATAAGTCGGCATGTCACTGAGGTCAAAAAGACCTATATTCATGAAATACAGCATTAACTAAATAACTACATTGCAGCATAAGTTCATATTTTTACGAGAATATTAAAATGAGGGAAATATGGATAAGAAATAACATTTGTATTTATATAATGAAAAATTAAAAGAATATATTTTGTTTGGACAATTAATTAAACCGGTTTTCTCTTCTGTATCATAAGCCACTATAACATCCAAGTCCCTCTAACCGAACAAAGTTGGACAGAGACTGCAGATATATTCTAAATAAACTTAATGCAACCAGTGTTTCCTAAAATGTATTCGAGTACAAAAGAGTTATCAGCTATCTAAATGGAAGAACAAAATATTTAGTTATAAAGGACAAGACATGAACCTGGTACACAATCTCATTCAGCTCATCCTTAAGAAGGAGAATATATAATTCAGTCAAAACACAACTTTTCAGATTAGCATATCCACCCTTCAGATTGATGCGGAAGTATGTATTTGCCCGCGGAAGTTTAAATGAATCATCGAGCTTGTACCAGAACTTTATTAATGGTTCATCAATTACACAGCTTGGATAAGATATATTTGCAGGATCAGGGCACAAGTTATCAGAGCGGATGGAAAAATCACTAGGAATGAACTCATTCTTTGAAGGGAGATACAATGAGTCATCAATTTCTGGGGGATTCTTCCACATATCCATCAAAGATGGAGATATATCTTCCTCAGTATAATGCGACCCAAACCAAGGCTCGCAATGGAAATCTGAAACAGTTAGAAAGAACAGAGCGCACGTCAAAATTCACACATTTAAAATGGGACAAATAAAACTTATGGTTACATTCATAGTCATAAATAAATACTGCAAAATGGAAACAAGACTCTCTTTCTAGGTTTTTTCTTCTACTTTATTTTTTTACATAAAGGGGCATATGTGAGTTACCTTTCGACTTAATTGAGGACTTTGATACCACATCAACCCTCATGTTTTCTGGTGTGAAGAAACCAAGAACATACTTTATCAATTCCGCGTCCCAAATTTTGTATACATAGTCCCCATAAATAACGTTCTCTGCTGGATACAGTAGCAAATTTTCTGCAACAATAAGATTTCACAATATTAAATAGACTCATGAATTTGGAGATATCCTTTTGACTAAAAAAACACAAAATAGAGATATCATAAAGAATCTTTTATGAAGTAGGGATACTTTCAGTTAGGTAAAACATGACCAAGGTAAGATGTGCAATTTTGAAAACCTGCAAGTTCTGCAGCATAATCATCTTGGGGCTGCTCCTCTGCAAATCTAAAATCCATATTCCCAATATCCTGAAGTTCCCTAAATATCCATTCTTGTGGAGACACTTGATGCAGTAACTTAATGTATTGGTAGACATAGCAAATTATTTCGGAAATCTGCAAGATAAGCATCGCACTTAACAAATGAGGATAAATGCTAGAAGTAGCCACAAGTAGAAGAACAGGAAAGATTGAGACTTCCGTGGATACCTTAATAAAGAAATAAGTAATAAAGAAAAAGCAAACTTTGCTCCACAGTTACTGATGTTTACAGTAACTGCGCACATAGAACTATGAATCTGTGAATTTTTTTCTTGTACCAAAAGATTCTCTAAAGGGATAAGTTGAGATCCTACCTTTTCCAATCCAGAGTCAGTGAGGTGTATGGACATGCGGAAGACATAAGCCACAGAAGATCGGTGCATCCCCTCGTCCCCAACACCAGCAGACAAAGATGTTGCCCACCCTCTGGTTTTGAGGTAAAAATGCAAACTTCCCCGGCCCTCTGAAAAACCCATAACTTAGTTCTCAGAATTTAAGCTCACTTCATGATTGCATAGGTGGCCAAGCAACTTAGATGACTAAACCCATTGTGAGATATAATAAATAACATGTAATGTACCTGAAAAGTAAAAGCAACAAAATCTAATGCAGAAAAGCAATGACACCGTCAGATACCATTCCAAGGCGAAAAAAATATCAGTGAGATGCAAAGTGACAGATGGAACTGAAGGATTCGGGCTCCCTTCGAACAAAATAAAACTAGATCTTACTATCAAAGTTTCTAGAGACGTCTACTTTAGGAATTTGTATATGCTGCTTTTACTAAAAAATAGAAAAAATCTAAATTAACGTCCTTTTTTTCTGCTAAAGAAATTTTTGTTCTCTGCAGAGGAATAATAATCAACATCAGATTAGGTAATAATGAATCATCTTACCATGTCCAAGTAGATGAGCTAAATAATCTTCTGGTTTCTTCAAATAGTCTTGATGAAGACATGGAAATGTCCATGTAAGGTTGAGTATGTTAACATCTCTAACAGCCTCTAGCCTGTATAGTTTGCCAACTTTCCAGATAGGACCTTCTGCCTTAAACTCCAATTTTACTTGGGGGCCTTTCTTGACATTACCATACAATTCCACAACCCAATCCTCAAGTACATCAAGAGATTCTGCAGCAATTAGAACTATTAATATTAACGTGAAATATATTATTCTACTTGGTTGGCTAATCGTACGCATAAATGATTGGACAGGATCACATGGATGGTTTTTTATTTGATACACAAATATTCTATTGTGTAATAGACTAATAGTGAACACTAGTATCAACCCCTACCACTTCAAAGAACAATCATCCACAGAACAGAAACCCTAAGTAGATTAGTAATGTGATTGAAATCCACAAAGTCAAATTGAAAATGTTCCATTATTTCCATTCAAGCACGCCGTGTGTTGTGCCTGATATAAAAATTGGTAGCTCTTTTAACTAACATTCATCCCCAAATAAACAATAGTCAAAGAAAAAAATAAACAAAGAGCAAAAGAAAATAGGAAAAGAAAGGAAAATTTTCACCTCCACCAATGACAACTAGCTTCATCAGTCCACCATGGTAATAATCCTTGTACAACTTTAGTATTTGTTCTCGCAAGTTGATCCCTTTTTCCATTGCATCAACCAAGCTCTTCTTATTTCCTTTCAAGCAGACATAAAAAAAATGTACAAAAATACATTTTTAGAGAGAGAGAGAGAGAGAGAGAGAGAGAGAGAGAGAGAGAGAGAGAGAGAGAGAGAGGGACAAGTTTGCACAATGGATTAAAGTTTTACCCCAACAGAATCTATTAAATGGGTGACCGGGTGCGGCTGTATGACACTGAATTTGTTCAAGGCGGCAAGAATCATTCTGCAGAACCTGGTTAAATTCTGCATTCCATTTTCATTAACAACAAAGAATACCATTCAGCATTAGAACATTTGCATTGAGCAATACTGTAAAAAAAAAGCTGGATTTTTTTGGAAGGAAAAATGGAATCAAGAAGCGCAGGTAAGACATGCATGCACCTGAATCTATAGCCTGTACCTCTCGCTCCATCGCTTCAATTTTCACTAGAGGTGAAACAAAGAACTGAGAAAATCTGACAAAAATAAAGAGCCAAATGAATACAAACCAGGTTTCTGAAACAGCAATTTTGAATGAGAAAAATATAACTAGAGTATTCCATACAAAGGGTCAAGTACATGCTATTAGCTAAATATATTGCAATTGGAACCTATTGAGCACAGAAAATTTTACCATGCATATTAATTTGACAACTATTTATGAACATTTTTTATCCTGTGAAATAATTGTGGCAAGCTAGATACTGAGGAACCAAAAGGAACGTACTGTTGGACCTTATTAATTGGAGAACATCACTTCCATACCAACATTTTTATATGGTTGTGACCAGTAGGTAATATCACTAACATGCATTCAGAAAATAATAAAAAATAAATAAACGACACGTGATCTAATGATTTAACCTACACTTCCTACAGCCATATTATGTTTTGATTCTTTTGAGACGTAAGTATGACAATCATAAAACATTTTCAACTACAAATGCTGAGGCAATACAAGATTCAATGTCAATGCAGGAAGCATCAATAAAACCTACAGCCTTGTTTCATTGACTGTTGGAATCAAATTATGACCAAAATACATACTCAATACCAAGGACTTCAGGTTATAAATATTCAAAGCATGAAGAGCTCATAGTACACCTTCTCAAGGCACCCTTAAGAAACTCTGGCTTCACTTCAAAATGGTAGCAGGTATGCTCTGCTTCTGTGTATGCATTTGATGAACCTCCATGCTTGGACAAGTAACTATCATACTAGCAAAAATAAAAGTCAAAACGAGTGGCCACAAATACAGACTTCTCCTATTTAACTTGAGTGAAATTTTTAGGAAATGTTGTTGCAAGTAAAATAGGTTACTTTTAAATATCTATTTTACTATTAAACAATGAGCAGAAATGAAGATAAAACTACCATAAACAATTACTACAATAAATCTGAAATGGCATCCATTCCCATAAGGTATAAGTCAAAGAAATAAGTAAATTAATGTTCGAAAATGACACTATCATACGCTGAATTAGTGTTCCATACAGCCTGACCCATCTGCAAGCAGGTGCGCAGCAAAAGAACAAACAAATCATCCCACTCACGTATACATAGAACAAGCAAGCTGGTGATGTTTTTTTTCATAAGAAACAGAACTAAGCAGGCTGATGGTGTTGCTTGAGGACGAATAAATATAAATAGTGAGATTACCATCTATAATCTATAAAGGTCGTCGTACCCAGTGCACAAGGCTCCCGCTTTACGCAGGGTCTGGGAGAGGTGAATGTCGGCTAGCCTTACCCCCATTTTATGGAGAGGCTGCTCCCAAGTCTCGAACCCGAGACCTACCGCTCATGGGCGAAGGCACTTGCCATCGCACCAAGTGCGACCTCTACCATCTATAATCTATATGAAGGGAAAATTCATGCGGCTTAATTATTTTCACATACAGTAAGTACACCTCATTTATGATGAATAGCACAAGGGATCATATACATCTCCCAATGACTTGCAAATAAAAACGAAGATAACTAGCACCCCAAAACAGAAAAAAATGCTCGGTGCACAAAGTACAAACAGACCTCATTTTCATCTGGAAACTCTGTACTCCCCATGAAGAGCATGTGTTCTGCAAAACATTCAATTTGTTAGTTATGCTTGCCTCAACACCCACTAGTACGCCCTTCCATGAACCATGTAAGCATGTGTAACAAAAACCTAGAAAGTGTGCAAGCCCTTGTGCCTCAAAAGGGTCGGAGAAGCTGCCTATTCCCACACACATTGCTGCTGCTGCCTGCAAATACAATCAAACATCTTCACATAAATCAAATTCTGTTAACTGAGCTGAGTAAACGTCATCCCAATCATTAAAGTAGAATATCAGTGCAGTAATCGGACATGCAAACAGCATGACCAAAAACAATTTCAAAGGTTTTACTCGAAGACAACCAGAACCCACCATTGGTTCCACTTTGAATTATGCTATCAAAGCTTCATTATCATTTTAAATGAAAATTTGTATGAAGGTACGAAAGTTCGATAGCTAATAGATTATCAGAAGAAAAAACAATGATGGTAGAAACTTGAAGCAGTATGTAACCAAGTAATAGTTTAACTCTTGAAGTTCCTGTAATCGGGTATCAATCATTCAACCAAAAATGCATATTGTTTTCCAACCTAAAATCAATTTCCCATCTTTGTAATGCCAACTTACCAAGTTTCTCCAACTGGGTTTTCACTTTGCAATAAAATTAAATCAAATAAACTTGAATGCGAGATGGGCATTTCACAGTTTCAATGTAAAATAAAAGACCAACCTTCTTAGTCTGAGAGTCTCCACCCTTCCCCTTCTTCTTCAGTTCACCATCTCCGCCTTCTTCGTCATCGTCCTCTTCATCCTCATCTCCTTCACTGTCTTCCCCCTCATCTCCGTCCTCGTCGTCCATATCTTCGTCCTCTTCTTCCTCTTCAGCCTCACTGTGTTCGACGGATTTGGAGTGATCAGGCGGCCCTTCTGGGTAAATCTCAGGATCATGAACGAGCAATGCCGAGAGGCTATTCTCGAGCTTGATTAATCTGTATAATCGTCTGTCATTCGGCGACTTTATTATGATATCGTCCGATTTGAAAGTGCAGCGAGCCATTGACACAGAGAGAGAGAGAGTTCAGAGTCGACTGGAGGTTACTCTCCCAGTTCTCTCTGCTGCTATGGGGTCTTGACACTCAGTAGGGGTCCTGGAGCAGCTGGCAGGAGGACGAGGAGGACGATGCAAATTCAGGACGGGGTTGGAATTTACTCCTTTGGAATTTATTCGTTTGGGGCCTACAATATATGAGTCCATGCACATTCCTCCTAGGGTTTCAATTGCAATTTTGTTGGGCTTAAGTCAGTTTGATAAGACCGGAAAATTTTTAGTTGTGACGGGAATACGGATGATAGTGTTTTTATGCAAGTGGTGGAAACTTTTAATCTTTAACTTATTAACCTTTTAACACACATAACCTATCATTTATATATGGACACGTAGTGTACCACTTTGTGTGACGAAAATATTGAAAAATCTCTCGATAAGACGGTATGGTTAATGTATGTCACTTTGCATTGAGATACGGAATATTTATGAAGAAACTTAGGCCCCCTTTGATATTGTTTTTTTATATCAAAAACTGTTTTTTTTTAAGCTAAGCAACAAAAAAGTGTTTGATAAAAGTAAATGCCCCACCATCTATTAACTACTTATTTCAGTTGTTAATGATATCATTTACCGTTACGCATAAGGTTATATGTTTCGAATCACCATTGATAGTTTATGTGGCACATAACCTTTCTTTATATGCCACACTACAAACTTGTCATTTCAAGTGATATGGAAAATGCCTGGGCTAATGTTATCAAATTTTGCCTTATCAAACCTCTCAAGGCAAAGTTATCTTATTTGTTGCCTCATCTATTAAAGCGGTGAAGTGTCGTAATGACAAGACAAATTGATTTTTTTTAAAGGTGTTCTTATTGTGCTAGACAATCGATCAGAACCATTAGAAATGCGAAATGGAATGCATGGTCATGATCGAAAATTAGATTTCATGACAATTGAACAATATTTTGTAATACATACACAAAGCTTGGCTATTAAACAAATATAAGAAAGAGCAACCTTGGCAATGACTACTTTGTAGTGCTAAAAATAATTTGCATAGTAGGATAATTGAAAGATAAAAAGATTTTTATATTAAAAAAAATCATCAAAGAAGCCCAAATTAAGTTAAAAGGCCCAAATTCTAGGTCCAATCGACTGCAGATTATAGACAGTAACATTCGTCTACCATCCTCACAAATAGCCCCAAATTCAAAAGATTAGGGCGTGGACAATCGTCTTTTTGATGATCAATTCCCAGCCCTTTCAAAATTCAAACCCTAAATCCTTTTTGGCGCTCCCAATTTTGCATCAAGAACTCAAATTTTCCAAATAGGCAAAATCTGCGCGGTTCAAGATCTTCACTTTTCAATCTCTGACATTCAATTTTCTACCCTTCTCGCAGAATTAGGCTTTCGATTGCCATATTCAATGGACCCAGACGTCGACGTTTCGCGGTGGGTCATCGAGCTCCTTCTTCGGGACCGCGAGAAGGATTGCATTGCCAAGAGGCTCCTCGCAGTCGCACCCTTCTCGGACCAAGACTATCGCTTGAAGAAGACCGTACTCCTCCGGACGATCGAGTGCGAAGTCTACGAAGCTTCGGTCTCCGAAACGATCCTCGAAACGCTTGAAATGATTGAGGATTTGGATATCAGAGAAGGCATTGCCACCACGGAATCCATGAAAGCGGCCTACTGCTCGGTGGCCACTGAGTGTACGGTCAAGTTCTTAGTGGGTTTTATGGGAAAGCCTAGTGAGAAGTACTTGGAGGCCGTGGATCGGATTTGGAGAGGGAGGGTTGGGGTTTTGGAGCGGTCTGGGAGGAGCCAGTTGGTATCTACGGAGTTGAGGCATCGAATGGAGGAGATCGAGGCAGGGGTTTGGGATTTGAGAGTGTCGAAGAAGTTGTCGAGGATGAACACGAGGAATGATGCGCTGAGATCGGTTTCGGTTTATGTAAAGGAAGCTTTGGCGTTGTTAGGACCTCCGTTTATTTCTTGGGCTATTAGATTGAATGTGCCCATGGAAGTAGCCGACTTGGAAGCTGATCACATTGCAGTGGTCAATGAGGCTAATGTGGGTGGTGGGTCTGAATTCGAAGGGCAAATGGAGAAGGGGGCTAATGCAGGTAACGGGCCTGAATTGGAGGTACAAATGGCGAATGGGGCTAATGCGGGGGAAGGTTGTTCTGACTTGGAGGCTCAAATGGCGAATGGTGCTAATGAGGGTGATGGTGGGTCTGAATTGGAAACTCAAATAGCGAATAGGGCTAATGTCGGTGGTGGTGGGTCTGAATTGAAGGCTCAACTGCGGGATGAGGTAAATGTGGGGCCCAGTGGGTCGGAGTTAGAAGCTGAAGTGGTGAGGGTGACTAATGCGGGTGGTCGGTCCGATATGGAGGTGCAAATGGAGAATGGGACTGGTGTGGGTGATAAGTCTGAATTGGAGGAGCAAATGGTTAATGGGACTAATGTGGGTCACGGGTTCCAGTTGGAGGAGCAAACTAAGAATGGGAGTAATGTGGCCGGTCACTCTGAATTGGAGGCACAAATGGTGGGTAGAGGTAGAGCTAATGTGGTCGATGGGTCTGAGCCAGAAGCACAAACTGGTAATGGGACTAATGAGAGTATTGGGTCTCAAAGGCATGCACAAACTACGAATGGGTCTAATGTGGGTAGTCAGTCTGAATTGGAGGCGCAGCCAGTGAATGGGACTAATGTACGTGATGGGTGTACATATGAGGGGCAAATGGTCAATGGGGATAATGTTAGCAATGGGTCTGAATTGGGTCCTATATTGGTTGCAGTCCCATTGAAGGAAGTTCGGGCAGGGAGCTCGCTGCCTACTGTGAGCCGGGGCTTGGTTTTGAATGATTTGGTTGAAATAGATTCTGGATTCAGAAACAGAGAAGTACACAGGTCGGCAGATGATCAGGCTCCTGGTCAAGTGAATGAGACAGGCTTGGCTATACCTAGTCGGAATGGGGAACTGGGTCTCAATATTGACCATACCACGAAAGATAAAGGTACTTTTATTTTCATACGCAGAGAGATTAATAAAGGTACTTTTATTTTCATACGCAGAGAGATTAAGGTAATTTTAGTGAGATTTACTTATGTGCGTGGATGTTGAGAGAGTGCTCTGTATTGTATTATCTTAGTTCTTATGCTCCTTCTGGACCTTCATCATCTTGAATACTGCTTTAGCCATGCTAAATATACTCCTGCATAATATAGTTATTGCAGACTTCAGTTTCAAAATATAATATTTCTGTTTGTTTGATTCTTTTTTCTAATTCTTGTAGAAAGTCAGAGGTCTACTATGCCTAGACGCAAGCACCTTGCTCATAGACGCACCAGAGGACCGATTAGGATTAGGGACGCTGAAGATTTAGGCACAGATGTATCAGATAGAAAATATGGTTCCTTAGATACCCCTGAAGTTAACAGAGCACAAGAAGCACTTAAATCCAGTATTTCGGAGCTCCAAGAATTAGTGACAGATCCACTTCCAGATGCCTTGCGAGTGTCTGAAACCGTAAGATCTAGTTTGGCAATGAGATCTGTAAATCATGTAAATGGAAAAGATGTAGGTGCAGAAAATCCATCTATCGAGAAGGGTGCCGAGCCTGTTCAATCTAATAATGATAATGTTGGAAATCTGCCATCCAGACATCAGAATGATCCTCAATCTAGTGGAATAGAAAAGGATGTTCCAAATCCGCCTGTTGACCAGGGAGGCACTGAGTCTGTTCAAACTGATGCTGCCAATCTTAGAAATCCTTCTTTCAGTAATCAGAATAACGTTGCTCGTCCTAGCTTGGTGGAACGTAATAGTACTGCCCGTACTTTCGAGGTATTTATGTTCACGATGTTTATTTCTTTTTATTTTATTGATGTCCTGATTTGTTTGTATTTTTGGCAAGGGGAACATGACATATTCCTCGTAAACATTTTACTAAATCCATTAGTTTCTCTGGTGTTTAGCTGTTTTATTCAGTTTTTATTATGATTGATTCCCTTCTGCAATTTTTGCGGTTCTGGTTGCTTATAAATTTGCACTCATTGTTGAAAATTGTATTTTCAGTGGGAGGAATCAATAAATACGTCACAAGAAGGAACAAAGAAAGATGCGGGCATGCTTCACCTTCCTAGCCCAAAGAGGACTGCTGTATCTCCTTTGAAGAAGTACGAGGATACGAGATTTAGTAAGAGAAGAAAAGTTAAAAGATGGAGCTTATTGGAAGAAGACACCTTAAGGACTGGTGTACAGAAGTATGTCGCATCCCTTCTCTCTACCTTCTTTTTGTTTCCCTTTTACCACTCTAAATTTCATACTTGTCATTACAACTTGCTCAAATATTAGTTTGAACAGTATGTATGCTTCTCAGTCTCATTAGTTTGATCGTTTTCGACGAAGGTATGGAGAAGGAAGCTGGAGCCTTATCTTGAAAAGCTACTCTGATATATTCAAAGAGAGGACTCAGGTACCCCAAGTTTCGTAATATCTTCAACGGTGTTTATCTATCCACATAAATTTATTCCATAACCAAGTTTTTCTATTCATCTGAAATGTCTCTACTTCATCAGTCGATATTGTGTCTAAGACGATTGGGGTTACTATGTCCGTCCAGGTTGATCTAAAGGACAAATGGAGAAATATGAAAGGGTAGCGGCACCTGTGAATAGTATGCTACTCGGTTGTATTTTCGTCATCCCGTACCTTATCGGACGTGTACATTAGCTCTTAGCATATTCTGTACAACTACAGGATGTGGATGCAAGATGTTTTTTGTAGTGTCCCTTTATCCACTTGTATTCTTTGGCTCCTTTTTGCTCCTTGTATTCATGGATGAGCAATTTAGCAAGTGGGGGGTTTTCAGATTTGCATAGAGGATTTTTTTAGTAAATATCTGTATAAATGTTCCCATAAATTTATAAATGATGGATGTACAGAAATGGCCTTAGGTTCAGAGTCCGGATCCTCTTTGTGAGGATTCCAAGGATCCGTGAATTTTGTTTATTCATCGTATATCGTACGGTCGGAAATCATTTTAAATATTTTTATTTAAAAGTAAACATAAACAGTATTTGACAAAAACTGACCGCACGATATACGATGAACAGATCTTTAGGATCGTCACCAAAAGGATCCGGGAAAGGATCCTGTTGGTTAAGTTCAAGCATAACAAAATGATATCAACTGTTTTCGACTTTGGTCTAGTGATATTCTTTGGCTCCTTTTTGCTCCTTGTATTCATGGATGAGCAATTTAGCAAGTGGGGCGTTTTCAGACTTTGCATAGAGGATTTATTTTAGTAAATATCTGTATAAATGTTCCCATAAATTTATAAATGATGGACATACAGAGATGGCCTTAAGTTCAAGCATAACAAAATGATATCAACTGTTTTTGGCCTACATTATATTTTCTTCTATTGTTCTGTTCTGGGTCAAACTTAGCTATACCGGATTCATCACTGTACGTTTGGGCAGCGGGGGGATATGAAACCATGACATGCAAGTTTTTCTTTGTCCGGTGACGTAAAGGAAAGTCGGTAGCGCACTCTGATTTAGTTTTCGACTTGGTCTAGTGATATTTATTTAGGTTCATCTCCTAGGAATAACGAGTTTGATATAATATAGAGTTTGACATATTATGTGCTTGACCTAAATTTTTCATTTCTTAGTGTAAATATATCGTTTTATAAAAAAAATGGGATAGACAACTTTGGGAAGTAAAGTATTTAGGGAAGATTTAGTATTGCCAGGTCACCAACCCAAGAAGAGATGTCACATGGAACTCGATTACAAAACCACTTTTGCTTGGAACTCAAATTTTGCCACTACGTATGATTTGTGTCAAAGAGTTGTTAGATAAGAAGGGTGGTGCTTAAATAGAAACAATCTTTGAAGTACTCTTTGAAGTAATTAAACAATTGCCGAAGGAATAAAAATGCCTCTGATGAGTTAGAACTCGATGAAATCGAAATCAGGCTAGGCTAACATAGTTGGGTTTTTCTTGCCAGAAAATACCAGTCTTCTTCTTCCATCAGAAAAGTCAGAAGGAAAGAACAAGGAAACAAGTAAATTCAGATATAACAAAACAGTCGAGGAAGTTCCGAACGCTGACAGTACCATGCTGTAATTCGAACCTTGCATTCGTGACGGCGGGATATTTCGAGGTAGAGGAAGGGATATGGAAGCTTCATTTTTGTAGAAAGTGTCCCATCTCTCTTGTGGCATGCATTTGACTCGGCCTTCCTACTCAAATCCCTCCCGGAACCCTTTTGTCTGCATGATGGCTCACTCGATCGGAACCCTTTGTATTCTTCTGCACTCATTTTTCCGGCCTGCAGCCCCTATGACCAATGCTAACAGATCAGATACTGTGTTGTCATACACTTGATGGTTAACTTGCACATAGTGAAGACCAAGACTCTCTATATAAGGGCAATTAACATGCGTGTTTTCTGCCCAAGCAACCTAAAACCAAAAGGTTTTTTTTTTTTTTTTACTCACTGCAAATCTAGCAACTATGGCAGGGCCTTCGGTGTCTGGGGCGGCATTCACGGTGATGTTGCTATGCATGCTGGTGACTGCTCGTTACGCAGTTAATGCAACTGTAACTTGCGGGCAAGTTGTCCAGTTACTCACTCCATGCATCCCCTTTGGAGTGTTTGGAGGGGACGTGCCACTGGATTGTTGTGCCGGCATAAAAGGGATGCATGATATACAAAAAACCGAGGAGGATCGAAGAACTGCGTGCAGTTGCATTCAACAAGGCGCTGCAATGATTCCGGGGCTAGATTATGACCGAGTTAACACGCTTGGCGATCGATGTAGTTCTCCTTGCCCGGTTTACCCCTCTACTAACTGCTCTGAGAAAGCCTCGTGTTGATTTATACATATATAAATGCCTTCATCTTTTTGCGTTTCTGGTCGATACTGAGTTTTACGTAGAAATTAGCATGCTAATTAACAATATTTATGGATGTAATTTATTTGCAGGGTAAACTGAGATGCTAAATGCCATTGAACTCAAGCTTCCCGAAAGATTGTTCCTAAAAATCCAGCTACAAGATGTGTCACTTACTCAAGGCACAAAGCTTTATTTTGTGGCATTCAATAATCATATTATATATGGGTAATGGATTGGATGTAATCCAAAATAATAGAATAATGAAGACTTTGATGTACCCCTTTTGAATTTGTATTTGTATTGGGTGATCATTTTTTACCTTTCACGCACCTGACTCAATTTTCGGTTGTTAAATCGAATGAATTCAAGATGATAGATAGACAAAAATTAAATTAATAAGAAATATGGAAAGTAAAAAAGAGATGTGTCTAGATAGCACCACCCTTTATGTTCTTCTCATGGATAGTGAATCTGTGAATCATGAATCTAATTGGATTTTCATTAAAAAAAATTAGAAAAAAACAAACAAACAAACACCTCGTAGTTCAGTTATTTTTTATTTTATTTTTTATTTTTTATAATATTGATAAGGAAATAAATCCAATAGCCATTGACTTTTCAGATATACACCACTTTTCAATCTTCATATAAAGGAAATCAAATTAAGAGGGTCTCGAACTGCATGACTATACATCATATGGCTGTTGTAATGAAATAGTCCAAAGAAAATTGCTAAAGTTTTAAAGATGGGCATATCACGAGAGTTGTTGCTTTTCTTTATCGTAACCTATGCTTTATGCACAGGTCTGTTTAATGCATACATTTTCCCCATTTTTTTAACCCTTTCCATCTTTCTTTTTTCTCCCTTGGTAAATTCATAGCTAAAATAACAAATATTTCTTTAATTTCACAGAACAAAACTTATTTAGTCAATGACATTAAATGATAGCTGATATTGATATTTCAAAATAATCATTCTACACTCATTTTAAGTCTATTTTCTTTCTTAGATTTATACGTGTTTTGAGTACATGACGACTATTCTAAAGTGCCAATAACCAGTGTCGTTGTTCCATTACTATTATATATTTTTGAATTGTGATTTGTGAGAATCACATTCACGTTTCATTACATTTTGGGAGATGTAATTTTACTCAAACTGAGGGTATGTAAATTTAGATTCATATGATATAGCTCTCTTGGTCCACATGATATATAGCTTTCTTCTCTCGTTATTTTCAACTCACGGCTTCCATCTCCTTTCAGATGTAAATGAAATATAAATAACTTAAATATTTATATCTTCAACATAAGTAATTTACATACCCTTAAAACTGCAAATTGGAAAGGTATCCCATTACGAGTCCCGATTATATATGATCTTGTACACATTTTCAATTGCACATGTACTAATCCGACATTTATACGTAAAACTAACCCTATATCAATAAAGCCAACCATATATGTTAGCTAACAAAGCCCAATTGAGGTTTTTCAGCTTTCAAAAATGTAGCTGCTCAATGTTGCCGTGATTACGACAGGAACAATTTTGCGATTATTCTTGCTTAAGGAAATGCGGGCAACATGGTTCTTGCATATACAAGAAAGTCCGTGGACTCTACTTTCCCTTCTGTCGTTGTTGCACTGCTAAACCTCCGACCGGAGAAATTGAAGTCCCCATTTATTCACCGCGAGAGGCTATATAGGATTTCAATGCAGATACTTAGGGCTGGTTTGGTATTGCTGTGCTTTGAAAAAAAACTGCTGTGAGAATAAGCGGCTGTGCTGTGAGAATAAGCGGCTGTGAAATAAAGCTAGTAGAGTGTTTGGTAAACTTTTTGTGAAAGTGCTTTTGGAAAAAAAAACCAGGATGATAGTGTGTCTTTTCATTAAAGGAGCATTGTAGTTCTGTGTGCTTTGAAAAAACTGGCTTTTTTTCAAAGCAGCAAATAGCAGCTTCAGCTTTTCCTTTGATTTTCAGCTTATTCTCACAGCAGCTTCCAAAATAAACCCTTTTTTTCAGTTTACCAAACACAAAAATGACCCTCAGCTTTTTTTCACAGTGTTTTTTTTTTAAATCACCTCAATTCCAAACGGGATGACATGGTTGAAGTGCTAGTAATATAACAGCTTTCATAAATAATACTAGTAAACAGCCATTTGGTCATCATTTTAATTTTGATGTACTACAGACTCATGCCATTATCAATAATATAGAGGTATTAAAGACTTATAATTCAATAATCGTCAAGAAGATGTTGGAATTTAAAGTCTCGAATCGGTTGTGTCAATATGGGATTTGGATTCTTTAAGTTTTCATTCTAAAAAAGTTGTCATTCTTCTTCTTCAACGAGAAAATAGTAAAAAATAACTTACTTTAATCAGGTAGTGTACAAAGTTTTATATATATATATATATATATATTCACACATATACAATGTACTCCACTGTAGTTGGAACTCTACCTTGCATTAATTGATGATGCCAGAAATCTTGGAGTTTATTTGGCAAGGAAGTAGACAGGCACATCTGGTTAACAAATGCCAACAAAACTAAGTTTGACGAGTGTAATTAACGGTGGACAAGCATACAATCGGCGTTATACTCATATACCTAATGTGAGGGATAGAGATAAAGATATATCTTCGAAGACAGTCCAGAATGACATTATTATTGAGCCCTTTTCCACAAAAGGGCACATAAGCCTTGGAATTTTCCTGCCCAGATTATCCTTGAGCCATGACCAACTGTAACAAAAATAAAAATAAAAAACCCTGTTTGTTCGATGGCCACCCTAGTCAACATATGCTTGATAGTTGATGTGCTAAATTTCCTCATAGGGATGATTAGGGCCAAGACCCTTCAGTGTCATAAGCGATATTTTATACTAATTTACACTAACATGAGAGGAAGAATTTGAACTCATGACGCATTGAGTTGAAGAAAAAGACCCTACCCATCATGACAATCCACCGCTTAAGCAAAGTGAAAGTTTTGGACACAACACAAGAAGACGTCTAACACGTTTGGATTAGGCTGATTAGCCATTGCTTGACGTGCACCAACACGAATTTGATCCGGCTGAGTCATTCGGCACAACTACTAATTAAATGAGTCCGGTTGAGACTATCTACTAAACTTGAGTCAGTATGCACCAGTCTTCATAGAAAGGAATCTAATTAAGAGGGTCTCTACATGACTACATATATGTGATATCGATGCTATATATGCCATGGCTGGTGTAAAACAATAATCCAAAGAGATTTGCTACTGTTTAAAAGATGGCCACACCCACGGCACGAGGGTTGTTGCTTTTCATTTTTGTCACCTGCGCTTTATGCACAGGTTCTATTTATTTCAATTGCTTTCAAATATGTTTTTCATTCACACATGTAAGAATCTGGCATGAAAGTAATTTACGCACACCCTTTTTTATTTGTAACATTTTATAGCTTGAATTAATAAAAAAAGAATGGATGGACAAAAATATATAAGAGTATGTAAAAGGAGAAATAAGTTGTGCGAAAACCATTATTCGTATGAGATAAGTGAAACTAACAGTGTTAAATAGATGTTTTCAGCTTTCCAAGATGCAGCTGCTGAACAAGAAATTTGTTGCGGTGATCTTTATGGTTTTAGAAGATGCGATCCGGGCACAAAATCGGAAAAAACTGCAATTAGCAGTGCATAATTGATTGTGGAAACGTAGGCAGATGCATCGTGAAGAAAGGCCGTGGACTGTAATTGCCGTTCTGCCATTGTTGCCTTGATATACCTCCCTCTCCCAAACATTGAAGTCCCCATTTCTTCAGATTTATATAACATGGATGAGTGCATGAGTTAATTCCATAAATAATTCTAAACAACCATTTGGTTGCCCTTTTGACTTCGATGTAACAGTCATGCCATTATCAAATATTAATAAAGGTATTTAAGACTTGTAAGAAACCTGGAGAAAATGTTTGTGACTCAAAGCATCGAATTCGTTGTGTCAATATATGGTCCCTCTTTTCATTTTGACGTGTTTTTGCCTATGGCATGCTAATAACAATTTTTGATATTAAAAGTTGACACTTCAAATGTACATAATTTTGAATCTTGAAGCATGTATGAGTGTCCAAACATTTTGAAATGTTTCTGCTTGTGAAATGCTAATAATAATTTTCGATGTTTAAGTTGACACTTCAAATGTACATGTTTTGAATCTTGAAGCATGTATTTATGCTCAAACATTGTAATGTGTTTCTGCCTGTGAAATTGTGATAACAATTCCGATATTAAAAATTGACACTTCAAATATACATATATATTTTCAATCTTGGAGCATGCATGCATGTCCAAATCTAACACTAGAGAATTTCAACAAGAAATGATTAAGAACTCAATTCAATCAAACAAGTCAAAAGGAAAGAACAGAACAGTTAACTCAAGTACAGTGCAGACGTTGGAACTTTGCATTCCGCAATTAAAAACCATGAATGATTACTCGATCATAGTTTAATAGTTTTTGTGAGAAATAAAATTGTTATTCTTTTTTTGTCAAGTGAGAAATGCAATTGTTAAGTTTAAGGAATATCTTTTAGTTGCGCAATAAGATAAATGTTTTTAAGAATTTGAAAGCAATCTTACCATTTATTAGATCCAAAAAGTATTTTTTTTGTTGAGTGTTTTTGTACAAAACCGGAATTGAATGCTTAGAACATAGTTCCGTTAGCCATAACATGTCCAGAACGTTGTGAATGAATATCGAGAATCTTATGTGTTAGAGTATATAACAGAATCCCTTAGATTGTGACATATGTCAATATTAGAGTGGTTAGATTACAAGAGTTTCTTAGTCCTAACTGTAAAGATTAGGATACAGTTGAGCTTGTGGTAAGAAGATAAGACTATATAAGTCTGATATGAGTGTGTAATTCTTAGTTAAGAAAATATATGATAAAAGTGATTTCTTCCTCTCTAAGTATAACCTTCTTCTTTCTTCTTCTCAGGTCTTAATATTTCTGCTCTATGGTTAGCATTATGGTGCATGGAAAATATTATGAAAATAAGTTTTATGATGATTTTTGTATTACCAAAATGATTAAAGAGCCTCCAACAAATTCATTGTTGAGTGTTGACCACGCCATAACTGAAAAGAAAATATAATCCTTGTAGCATATCCTAACTATTAAAAAATGCTTATTAACCTTCAACAAATTCACCTCTAAATCAAATAGGAATTGACTTCCGAGATATACGTACACCATTCTTCATAAATGGAAATTTAATTAAAGTTGCATCCAACTACATCACCATATATATGCTATTAAGCCATGGCTGGTTATATGAAATATAGCACGAGAGTTGTTGCTTTTCTTTATCATTTCATATGCTTTATGCACAGGTTTGTTTACTTCATATTTATCATTATACATACAAAGAAAATATACTAAGATATATATTCTGAATTTGTATAATTTTGAGCTCAGATTAATTGGAATATCGAACGTGAATCTTGGATATAGATTTTCTTTTCTTATTTTCTATCATTCTTTTATTTATTTATTTATTTTTGTCAATTGTCAGCTGAGATCCTAAGGGAAAAAGGAGGTGGAGAATCTCGAAGAACTCGAGTGAGGAGGGTCACAAAAGTGTTTGATTTCTAGTATTCTTTCAACAATGATTAAGTGAGGTTAAGTGATTAGACATGTGTCAAAAAGTTAGATCGATCGAAAAACCACATACAAAATAAGTACAAAAGATTTGAAGACAGTTGAAGCACTATACATGGACTTACCTTTGAATCAAACGGTCGTTGACTTTCTAGATATGCACCATCATTCTTCATTGCATTTGGCCTATCCTAATTTCAAAAGTGTTTGATAACGTTTAACTAATTTACCTCGAAATCAAGTGTAAAAAAATTTCCCTCTAAATAAATTGTATCAAAATTAAACTCTAAATTAAATGGCCTTTGAATTTACATGCACAATTCTTTATAGAAAGGAATCCAATTAAAAGTTCTCTAACTACATGACTATCACTATATATGTTATGCCAAATCCAAATAAATTTGCTAAAGTTTAAAAGATAGCCATAGCAAGAGAGTTGTTGCTTTTCTTTATTGTCATCTGCTTTTTATGCACAGGTCTGTTTAATTATTTGATCATCCTATAAATATTTAGTCAAATATGTTATATAAGCTTCTTTTTTAGTAGAGGCGATAGTCTATATTAAATTAATTTAAGAGGGATTCGGACATTATCTATTTTTCAAAGGCATAAGTGAATCCGTTACGACATCAATCATTTGTATCAAATTGTTTTTCATTTTACAGAACAATGCTTAGCGAATAAATAATCTTCAATTGGTTTCATATACGTTTTTTTTTCTAAGACAAGCGTGCTATATTTTTCATTTTCATGCATGTATTTATTGATTGAGGAAGTGATTTTTGCATAATTCTCTTTATGCATGCTCTTTTTATTTGTGGATTTGACTTGAATTAATCGAAGAAGAATTAATGGAGGGGAAAAAGAACCGCCGCATGCAAAAGGAGAGCTAAGGGTTGTGTGAAAAACCATTTTTTCTATGAGATTGGTAAAAACTAATATTGTTATATTGACGTTTTTTCAGCTTTCCAAGATGTAGCTGCTGAACAAAAATTTTGTTGCGGTGATCTCTACGTGGGAAAAGGATGCGATCCGGGCACAAAATTCGAAAATGATTGCAATGTTCAGTGCATAATTAATTGTGGAAATGCAGGGAGATGCATCGGAAAAAAGGTCTGTGGACTCTACTTGCCGTTCTTCCATTGTTACCGGCAGTGGCGGAGCCAGGAATTTTACCACAAGGGGTCTTAGTGTAAAAGTTCAAATAAAAATTTAGAATGGAAAAACATATTGAAAATGAAATCATAATACTTTCATTCATAATTCATAACGGAAACAAAATTACAAGCTATAATTGTCCACGACGAGGTTTCATATTTTGAAAACGAAGCATTATAGCTTCATTTTCAATACAAGCAAAAATATCTCTCTCAATATAAACAAGCAAGCTATCACTCAACCATTGATCTCCCATTTTGTTCCTAAGTGGACCCTTAACAATATTCATGACAGAAAATGCTCTCTCCACTGAAGCAGTTGCAACTGGTAAAACTAAAGACAATGTAATGAGCAAATATACATAATTGAATACTCGATGCATCCTTGTCTCCACCATTTTTTTTGCAAGATCACCAATCCCTTCCAATTGAGAGAAATCACTACAGGAACGCACATAATGAATATAAATCTCAAGTTGATCTTCAAGTGCCAAACGATCCTCATCCAAAAGGTCTTGAGGATAAAATTGAGCAAGACGAAATAACTTTGGTTTATCAAAAGCTACAAATGAATCTTTCGGACTCAAACATGCCAAACAAATAAGCAACTCGGTATTTACCTCATTAAAGCGATCCTCTAACTCCGTAATTTGCTCATCAATGACATAAATAAAGAGCTCCACACGATAATGATGACGATTTGTCTTTATTGGAGCATTACGCCTTGACCTCCCTGGAAGTATAAATGCCTCTTCCATGTTAGGAACATCAATATGATGTTTTTCACAAAAAGAAGATACTTCATCAACCAATGCATCGAACCCATTATTCCTCATCCAATGTAGTTTTTCCTTGCATGATTTCACTAAAGCCATTGCATTCACAATTTCTTGATCTTTCCTTTGCAATGCTTGTGACAAATCATTTGTGAGTCCCAATATGACTTTCATCAAGAAAAGGTGAAACACAAACTCAAAAGTACATATGTCTCTCATTAACTTATTTGCTTCACCCGCACTTTCATTGGGATTATCATCAATAACCATTTGAAGCACATGAACCACGGATGAAAACATGGAAATGATGCTAATCAAGGTACCATAGTGTGAGTTCCATCGTGTGTCACCGGCACGTTTAAGACTTGTTTCTTGATTTAAGCCTCGCCCCGTTATAAGACAATCATTTTCAAAAGCTATCACAAGCTCTTATTGAAGTTGCTATCTAAGTAAATCACGCCGCTTACAAGATGCTCCAACATGATTAACCACACTATTAGCCGTTGCAAAAAAAGAGGCAATGTCTATATTCTTCTTTGCTACGGCAATAAGAGCTAGTTGAAGTTGATGAGCAAAGCAATGAACATAATATGCACAAGGTTGTTCTCTCAATATCTTTGTTTTAAGGCCATTCAACTCACCTCTCATATTGCTAGCACCATCATAACCTTGTCCCTGTAGCTTGGAAATGCTCAAACCGTTGCGAGAAAAGAATGTGTCAATAGCATCCTTTAGTGAAGTTGAAGTAGTGTCGGTAACATGTTGGATACCCACAAATCTTTCAATTACATGCCCGTTGTCATCCACATAACGCAACACCATAGCCATTTGCTCTTTCACCGACACATCACGTGCTTCATCCACCAATATTGAAAAGAATCTATCTTTTAGACCATCCATGATAGCATCAAGTGTTTCAAGGGCACATGAATTCACAATTTCTTTTTGAATGCAAGGAGCTAGTAATTTGAGATTCCCCGGAGCATTTTCCATCACAACTTCTCTAACTTTATCATTATTATCTGCAAGGAATTGTAATAGCTCCAAGTAATTTCCCCTATTGCTTGAAGTGGCACTTTCATCATGGCCACGAAAAGCAAGACCTTGTCGTAATAAAAACTTAGTGCACTTGATTGATGCATTCAAGCATGTGCGATAAGCCTTACGAGCTTGGTCGGAGTGTTTGCTCACTGCCGTTTCAATATGTGTAGCTTGATTCATCAAATTTGTAGCAGCTTCTCTAGCCTTATTATGAACACTCCCAACTGGTCCAACATGCATCTTAAATCTTTCTCTCCCTTTCTTCCAAGTCTTAAATCTATCTCTAGTGAAAGCTTCACTATCCACTTGTTCAAAATTGGTTTTAAAGAGATAGCAATAGAGACAAAATGCCGCATCTTTAGATATATTATACTTCAACCAATCAAACTCATCAAACCATTGGGGAATGAAGCGTCGATTAATTCCCGACATATTAGTTATTGGGAAATTATGACCTCTAGGTTGACAATGTCCTTTTTGTAGATATGATCTTCGGACCTCATCTCTCATATTAGCATCATAATCTATCATTCGAGTTCTTAATCTAGGATCCGCTTGAAGATTACCCAAAACACCATCTAACTGACTTTGTCTTGAACTTGGAGTTCTTGAACTACCAACAATATTTGAACTATCAACATTATTCGAACTACCCGAACCCGATGATGACTTTCTCTTAAAAAACCGTTCCATAATAATTCTACATATACAAAATATTCAAAATAAATACTCACAATAAAACAAACCATCAACATAATCAAAATAAATATGAATTGGATTTCAATTAAATTAAACTGTAAAATGCATAATAACTAATCCAACCAAGCCAACAATTCAATTAATCAATACCAATTAGCATACAAATTATTCAATAAATAAAATTCAATTCAACTAATCATATGAATAATTGTATACATTATGTAATAATTCAATTAATTAATTGAATATGATAATCAAGAACCAATAACCAACTTAGTGCATTACCATATGAATATGATACAACAAATTATGTAAGAATTCAAATTTTAATTTTCACCCTAAAAATTAATTTCATATCAATAATCAACAACCAATAATTAACTTAGTGCATTTCCATATGAATATGATTCTATTTCTATAGCAATTAAATAAAATTTGTATTAAATAATTATTTAGGATTAGGTAGGGATTTTAAATTTACCTTTGACTTTGAAGTTTGAAGTTTGAAGGCTGGCTGAGGGAGGCTTGGCTTAGTGGCTGGAGGATTGGAGTGAGATTGTGAGATTGTGAGACAGTGAGAGTGAGAGGAAATGACTCAGTGGCTAGCTCCGTTGCTGCTCTTGCTGGGATTTGGGGGAGCAGCTTTGCTGCTCTCTCTGTCTAAAATTGGCAGTGAGGTGAGGGCTGAGAGAGAGTAAAGAAGGTTGAATGGGGGACACACAGTCCCCCCCCCCCGCAACATTTTTTTTTTTTTCAAAACCGATGAAACGGCGCCGTTTGTATTATAATTTTTAAATTTTTTTTACCAGGTCCAAAACGACGTCGTTTTGGCCTGGTTTAAAAAAAAAATATAACAGCAATCTGCAGATTGCAGATTACCCAGAAAAAACAGAGGACTGAACCAGGTTTTCCGGCGAGGCGCGCGCGAGGGTAGTGGCACCAGCAGCTCCAAGAGGTCACACCAGCAGCTCCAAGGGACCTCTAAGCTTATTTCCATGGCTTCCAAGAGATCGTGCGACCCCATTAACCCCACTGTGGCTCCGCCTCTGGTTGCCGGGATGTACCTTCGCCGGTGGAGGCCCAATTTCTTGGCATTTAAATATACATGGACGAGTACGAAAAATGGTTTCTATAAATAATTCTAGTAAATTAACAACCATTTGGTCGTCCTTAGTTTTGATGTACACAGTGGTACCGTTGTCGATAATAAAGGTATTTAATTAAGACTTATAATTCAATAAACTCCAAGCCAATGTTTGAAATTCAAAATGTTAATTCGTTGACTATTTAACATTATGATTTAGTGGTTACAAGACAACAGTTCATCTACCACGAGAATTCTACCACGGGCTTTATCAGCTCGTTGTAAAAAGTATAAATTTACCACAGGCATAGTAAGTGCGTGATGAATAATAATTTTTTACCACGGATAAATCTTAACCCGTTATAAAATAGTAGTTAATAATCACGCGTAAAGTTGCACGTTATAAATATTCTAAGTAACTACGGACAATGCTCGTGGTCAATATTGTTAGTATCCACAATGTCTTTTTATTATCTACCACATTCATAATGTGTGATAGAATCATAAATTCACATATTTGGAGGAGGCGGGACACCAAAATTTTGCAAAATTTTAGACATCTTTTGTTGAAATTTCAAATTTTTTTGACAAATCCACTTTTTGCTCCATCTCCTTTCCATGTCCATCTCTTCCACTTTATCTTCCTTTCCCTTTTCCAAAAACAAAAACGAATTCTACCCCCTTTCAACTACACTCCCACGTTTTTCCAAAGCTCAACCGCTTCGGTTTCTTAAAACAAACAAAAAACATCATAATTTGTCTCTCCCCGGTTTCCCATAATTTAATTTGCATCTGCTACAATGGTGTGTGGTATGTTAATCCTATCAATGTTCTATCCAGTCTCTTCGGAATATTTCTCTGCCCCTGGTAAGTTTTCTTCACTAAATTTTCAAGGACCTGTTTTGAACTTTAAAACTCTCTGTGTTATTTAAATTCAGTTTTTCTTTTCTACTTTTTTTTCTCAATATCTTTTTGTCAGTTGCTACAATGATTGTTAAATTATGAAGCAGGGGAATCTTAGGTGATGGAAATATCAACAAATTTTACACCGGTGATTTCATATAATTTTTTTTTTCCGTAACTAATTTAATTTTTCCTTTGTGAATGTTGGTATTGTAGGTAACAATCACAAGAAGCTTACAGAAATGAAGCAGCAAATTGTCGAGACCAATTTGTGCTTGACAATGGCATTTTTTTCTTAAACCCATAAGTTTAGATTTACTTGAGTTTATTTGTTTGCGTAATCTATTTTACATGGTTTGAATGCAACAATCAGTTTGTTCCTTTCTTTTTACTTTTGTTTCTTTCCATTTGGTTTCTTTGCAAGTGTCTTTGCAGTGAAGTCTGCAGACCTGAAAGAAATTTGTGCATAGCGAGGTAACAGTTGTAGAGGAGTGTAGAGAGGAGAGGTTAGTGGCTATCTTAAGAGGACGGGTCACGTACTATCCTACATATCTAACTTCTCTTTGTAATACGTAGCATGATCATTTTTATCTTCAAGTATATCTATATCAGATGGAATCAGATGGAAGTGTATTTTTAATTTCTTTCATACCTTGATATGAAAATGATTATTTTTGTTGATTTGGTGGTTATGTTCAGTAACATATGAAGAACTACCAAATTCGACACTACGTACCATGCGTTCGAATGTTTTAATTATGCACAAAATAATAAAAAAGACCTTATTTTTCTTTCTTGATAAAAAGTGTTGGTGTTTTGCAAGCACTTGCAAACTTAAAGTGTGATTGGCTTGCTGGAGATGTGTGTCTTCTGGAAGAAACGATTGAAGAGAAGAAGATCATCATTGGAGGACGAAGGTTGGAAATAGGACTTGAGTTTTGTTTTAGTGTGAAATAAAGCCTCTATATGTTTTGGTGATTTTGGTATTTCTTAATATATATATATATATATATATATATATATATAAAACTACTCATTTTGTTGTTACTTTTGGTGTAATATTTGAATATGTGAATTTTTAGAGTAAATTTGCAATTTTGTATATAAATATCTTTATATATATATATATATATATATATATATATATTACTTGTTTATTTATTAAATAATTTTTTTTTTAATTTTTGGAATCTTTTTATAACGGGCATTAGCCGTGGTCAATTTGTAATCCACAATAGCCATAGCACGTGGTGTTAGATCCCAATCTACCATGGGCACAATCCGTGGTTACATTGCATTTGACAACGTGCATAGTCCGTGGTAAAAGCAAAGACTTTTTATCACATCCAGTATACTAACGGGCACGATGTCCGTGGTAGATTGCAATTTACCACAGGCATCCACCGTGGTAGATGAGTTTTTTTCTTCTAGTGAATTACTCTTTATTTGTAAGTGATATTTTTCTTACAAGGTGCAACTCGAGTACAAAATCAGAAGAACATTGCAGTTTTCAGTGCATCGGAAAGAAAGTCTCTCAAATCTATGTACGTAGGTCCCAATCCAACATTAAGAATTTCAGTACGAAATGCTTTGGAAGTTAGAACACAGTTTAATCAAACAAGTAAAAAAGAAACTACAAACGGTCAATCAGTTGTACAGTGCAGAAAGTGGAACCTTGCATTGGTGGCGCCATGAATCTAGGATAAAATTTGGCATGGAAAATTCAAAACCTAGTTGAAACATGCACAATTGACGGGGGATTCAAGAATCTTCTGTCATTGGCTTTGTTGAGCTTATCCAAGTAATATGATTGACTGGCTCACATATGCTGACCATAAGTCTGATCTTCCACTGTTCTGACATTTCTACAACAAATATTGTGTCTCTCACGGATCCCCTTCCACAAGAAGGCTCAAGACGCTTTGAATTTTCATTCCTATATTTTCCTTGAGCCATTGGAACAAGGAAATTTGAAATTTTCTAGCAGCAGCCCCATGACCTTCATAAGTAACAGACAAACAAACCCTATTTGTTTTGTAGCCCACCTTGTCAACATATAGTTTAATATGCTTAATTTCCACGTGACAATTTTTGGGACGACGTGGGTAACTCCTACTTGAACCAAACACGGAGTTATCAAGGTTTGGATGGCCATTAATTGCTTGACACCAACATGAAGATGATACAACACAAGTATTATAAACAAGTTGAGTTAAGTGTTGAGTCATTCAAACACGTGATGAGATTTTGAACTATAAGTTAGTGTTGAGTCATTTGACTCATGATGAGATTTTGATTAACTATTTTCTATTAAGAACACGAAATAACATGACACAAACGCACAAGCTGTTCACAACATCACATTCTATATATAGCCCCATATACATGTGTAGTACCGCCCAGACCCAAACGTAGCAGCTAACAATGCCCAGGTTTTCAGTCATCGTGGCAATAGTATTCTTATTGGTGACAGCTCCTTCTGTCACTAATGCCACCATAACTTGTGGTGAAGTGGTAGTTTTGCTCACTCCATGCATACCCTTTGGAGTGTTTGGAGGCACAGTGCCTCCAGATTGCTGCAAAGGCATAAAAGGGCTGAATGCTGCAAAAAAGACGACGATGGACCGGAGAATTGCTTGCAGTTGCATTCAGGAAGGAGCTGCAAGAATCCCCCGGGATTAATTATGACCGGATTAACACTCTTTGTGATGTTTGCGACTCTCCTTGTCCCTACAAAGTTTACCCCTCCACTAATTGCTCTGCGTAAGCCTCAGTCTCCTCTATAATTCTAACTTTCTGTGAACATATCACCAAAGTATGACGTTATTATCAAAATACCGTTTGGACCATTGCCAGATTTTATCCTGTACTTTTGTAACTATACCACTCTGATCTCGTGAACTTCATTATGCATCTCACATTCATTGTTGGAATCGTTTACTTTTTTTTTACATGGTGCCTACATGGATTAATCTCGAAGGTCATATTTTGCCGAAGCCCATGTAAA